CGCACTGATGTGAGCGCTTGATGCTACTTCTCGTCACCGGTCTGGGATTTTACGTCTGGTGTAAACAAGATGATATATTGTAAGCCATAAGATTTTTGGTTGTTTCCCATATTCGCCGCTTGCGACAGTCATGACGAAATTAGGTGATAGATTCTCTTACGGCGATACCACAAAGTTCAATGCCACCATATGACATTTTGTATGATGGCATTGAACGTATCTCTCATGATAGCTCAGTAATTTTTAAAAAATATAAGTTTTATGGTTTTACAGAGGCACATGAGGCTTCAAGCCAGCAAATTTTTGGTCCTACGAGCCGGATGTAGAAAACCGTATATCAAAAACAAGCCATTTCATCTTAATCATTAGTAGTAACATCAAATGATACTCGAATTATCTTTTGTTTTGATTTGCTTTATTGCGCATATATAGTTAGGACACATGAGCATCGGCGTAGTTTGTTGTGATCGTGTGAGCAGTATTTTTCAAACGACCTCAATTTTAACAAAAATGCTCTCCTGTTCATGTCACTCACCATAGGAAACAGCAACTATTTTACCCTAATATTTTGTCAGAGCGTGGTCCCTCCCCAATTTAATTAGTTGCGCTGTTTTACTTACCAGGTGTAGGCTTTACACGACTTTGAGGCGCGTGGCGCCGCGCAAGTGCCGCCCGCATCTGAGCGGCGGCGCGCTCTTCAAAGCGACGCTGTCCGTCTTGGTTACTTCGCGCTGACAGAGACGCTATCCACTGACGACCGACAACTCGGCTCCTCCTTTATTGACGTGAATTCGTCATTAAATTTGCTTCCATAGTGGGAGATAATTCAGAAAAATTATGGTATTATAAGGTCGTTTCGTTTCGTACACGCATTCATCATCATAATTACAGCGTTTTAAGTCCCACTGCTGAACATAGGCCTCCACCAAGGAAAACCGCAAAGCACGGTCCTAAGCCACCTGCATCAATCGACTTCCTGCATATCTTACCAGGTCATTAGTCCATCTAGTGCGGAGTCACCCTACACTTCCACTACTGGTACGAAGCGGTTGTCGGTTCTTCGAGCTATATGGCCGGCCTATTGCCACTTCAGCTTACTAATCCATCGGTCGGTCACTCTGGTTCTACTACGGATATCCTCATTCCTAAGTTTATCGCATAGAGAAACCCGGAGCATAGCTCTCTCCATAACTCGCTGAGTGACCTGAGCTTCGTCAATCGGCCAGCAGTGAAAGTCTGCTCTGACTTTGCCGAATTTAATTTTTTTTTGAAGAGCACTAGTGTTTGCATTCCGAAACGCTGATGTGTCAGAGCAGATCCGGTAGCACTCCTGCTGACTTAGTTTTACAGGAGTGACCAATCCATAGCTGAGTCCTGCATCCGATGGGAGCCACAGTAGATGAAATAAATAGTTCCATTGAAGTACTACATCAGCGACAAAATCAGCAACAGCGTTGGAATCATCCGGTGAACCCTAACCCTACTTATCAACCCAAGAGTAGGATGCAATAAAAGACTGCAGCCTGTCCCAATCGGCTGATCTATAGTACAAGTTGCCAAGGCAAAATCATAAACAGATCTACCCACATGATCCGCTAAACGGTAACCAAACCATTCAGCGTGATGGGCGTTAAAGTCACTAACGATCACGATCTCCCCAGATGGAACCTGTTGTTGCACGGAATCTGCAGCCATTTGGACGTGGTCGATGAGTTTATCTGTGTTGGCATTACCACTAAGGGACCTATATAAGCACCCGTAGACGCGGGGATTGTCGTCGCTGTCCACGTGCAGACATAGGATGGACAGGTCCGCATCTTCAAAACTGCCTAGCCTTCGAAAACGGATGTGTTCTCTGACGTATACGCAAACTCCAGCCAGTGGCTCATAGGGTTGTTCCAATATGTACCCCAGGTAGGAGAGATATGAAGTATCAGTTGGAGAGGACACCTGTACGTGTCTCGATGAACGGGTGTCGGGTAGTGGACGCTGTTAAGGTTTGAATAATGAAGTCCCCCGAAACAACTCCCGATGTTGCAGAAATTCACGGATATCGTGACAGGGGTCGCCCGGGATTGCGTATGTGTGTGGCCGACCCGTTCGTTCTGTTTCGGAATTCCGAAACGGAATTCCCTATGTAGTGTGTGTGTGTGTGTGTGCCTTAGTCATGAGCGGAATTACGAAAAGATGTCGCGTGGCTCTGCCATTGATAAAAAGTTGTTGTATTTAACATTAAATTGTTATTTGCAATTTATAAGAAAGATTTAATAAGAAGGAAAACATGATGAGAAAACTTGAATTTCTGACAAAATAAAATCAAATAAAAACCCAAACGGGGCTGTTGCGGTGGATAAACTGTACCATAGCCATCTTAGAAATGAAAAAAGGCCTGTGGCCCGTTGTGTGGGAGTGTTGACCAAGTAATATGAACAAGTCTTTAAAATTTGAGAGCCACAATGATACTGCTTTCTGTTACCAATTTGTGGGATTTGAATTTGGAATTTTCGAATTGATATACCGCACACACACATACACACTTTTGTCTGCTATTGGCTACATTCTTGATATAGTGCTCGTAACGGCGAGTGCTGACCCGGTTTCGAATTAAAATCCCGGGTGGAGCCAAACTGTTATTAGGTATTTCTATCAAGAAATTCTCAATAGAAGCCCAAAGTTAGGACTGCCGCCGTGACTGCAATACTGTCTGGAGTACATTATACGAGAGCGCTGATGTCACACAGAAAATCGTATTCCTGGTAAAGAGTATTGTACTTTACTACTAGACGAGCACTACGATATTAATACCTAGCGCACTAAGCTACGGGCAACTCTCTGTCGACTGCGAGCGAGCGAGAAGACTAAAGACTTGTTTTACAAACCGCGAACGTTGTTTTCTACAATTTAACACCAATTTTGTTTAATGTGTCCATTGAAGTAATATGTACTTACGTACTACAACAGCTACTTCAAACAAAAAATATGCGCTACTCTGTGTTCGCGCGGTTTGTTTTCTTATCATAGAATAAACATAGGTAGAATGATCAGTAGGTAATAAAAGATTGTACTGTTAAATAGGTAAATTATATCGAGAACAATTTTTTAAATTTTGACATTTATTTTGTATATTATATTTGCTTATTTAATATAATGTTATATCACAATTACATTTTAATGATATTTTTATCTCAATATTTTAAAAGGTATCTATCTCAAATATAAAAAAAACATACTAAATGTATGTTTAACAAAACGTAAAGTCTTATGTTTAACAAAACTTGTTAATATAAAATTTAAATTACAAATATATTTATTTAAATTAGAATAAGAGCCGTTCATAAATACTGGGCACGCGAGAGTTAAAAATTGACGAATTTATTCCACTTTGACTTTGTTGTGGAAACCTAAAAATAAAATATAAGAATAATTCGCAGATTTAAATATAAAAAAATTTGGTCTAATTATGATAACTCAATGTTTCTACAAAAAATGTGTATAATAATATATTCGTCCTATATTTAAGTACCCACAGAAATGTCGCATCTGAACAAATTAATTTCATAATCTATATTACGTGACACAAGATGGCGTCTTAGGAATAATTTGTTTTATTACTGATTTATAATACTTTTTTTATTGATTAAGTATCTTATTAACCAATGAAAAGTAATTCTGGTTTTTACTGACATATCTTGAATTATTTGTGCAATATCTAAGTACGCACGACGGGATATTTTTATCACGAGATTTTTTTTTAAATCAACACAACACATGTCAACTCTACAAGCGCCTAGCGAGTGACTGATTAAAGTGCAGTGTATGCACCGCAGTTGAATGGAACATAGTAGCTGAATGCAGTGTCGCCTCTAGTACGTAGTACATATTAGCTCAATGAATGTGACTAAAAAACTGCTATCATATTTATGTGCGCTCTTTGTCAACGTGATTTGAAATTTATTTCAGTAAAGTATATAACTTTATTTCGTATTTGCCTAAAACAGTAATTCTGTCGTAAATTAAAACACAATTCTTTTTTCTTCCTTACTTCTTTTTTTTTAAGTTATCTCCACACTAGGATTTTCTCCTGTATCTTGGGGGCAGTTTACAAACATAAATTGCACAAGGACAAACATCCAGACCCGGAACAATTACTTGTAGCTTGTAGGCCATACAAATACTTGTTTTGTGCGGGATTCGAACCCGCGGCCCTAAGCGCTGTAACTCATTGCTAAGCCACTGCGCCACGGAACTGTCATTGCGTGGCATATTTATCGTTTCACAGCTGTGACCACAGAAATCGTAATAATAAGACAGTAGAAGTCGCATAGACGCGTGACGTTGTCGCCGCTTATATGGGTTGTCGAACATAATTCACCATTTTGTTATTTAGTTGTGCGGGGAACGCCGTACGTGAATTTTTGTTATTATAAATGTATAATGGTGCACTGCAGCATAATCAGTAGTAAAAACTCATCAAGGACGTGTAATTAAACTAATAAAGACATAACATTTCATCAGTAAGGTGATTACTAATTTTCATTGTTTTAATTAATTTATATCTAGATGAATACTTTGCTATGACATTTACCTTTGCACTCATTTATTACTTTTCGTATTGTACAATTACCATTGTTGCTTTTGTTCTACCGTAATACGCGACACACGCGACATTGACAAACTCGCCAAGCAATGCCAAGTAATCGAACGCTAATTCATTTCATTTCTATTGCTGCGCCCTCCTTTCTGCCAAGGAGGGTCGCGTTCGTATACGGCTTAGAGATCTCTAGTCAGATCGTTAAGCCAATTCCTAAAAGGCGGTGTTTAGGCGGGTAAAAGTCTCCACATAACCACGCAGCCGGCTGCGTGGTATGCTATGAGCATTCACCGCCTTTCTCCCCCGCTGTCCGGAGGGTTGCCCATATTTGCTTCGGGCGCAAAAAAAAATTCTATTGTTTGCTGTGTTACACATTGCTGTGACACAGTATTTGTTCCGAATTGCTGATCTAGTAGTAAACTAGTAATACAATAAAGTCTTTGATTCTTGGAGTTATTTTCTTACTTGGTTCTTGATGGCGGCGGTGGCGCCACTCTCTGCACTCGGCGGCGAGGTGCGGAGTCTTCATCGCTTCGCGCACTGTCACTGCTGTCAGAACTGTCAGAGCTCTGCTCGCTATCCCCATTGCTGTCTCGCTCTGGCTCGGCCGTACCGTCTCCACACCCCGACGTGCCTTGCTTCGTACGACAAGTAAACTTTGAGACATGATATTACTCCTTCAAATTTTACTTCACAAACCCATTATTATTCGTACTAAAATACTACGAAAAGGCTAATAATTATCCGTGGGTTAATTTTTTATTTATGAATCGCAGCTTTAGTTTGTTTACAATCAATCATTTTAATTGTTATTATTGTAACTTTTTTTATAGCATTAGGTGACAAACGAGCACATAGTCCACCTGATGGTAAGTGGATGCTGTGCCCCACAGACATCCACATTTGTCCTCAATTAAGAATCAAAATGCAAATGCGTCGTCATCCCTGAGGACTGAGATGTCAGAGGAAATGAAAAAGGTTCTCCGGTTCTCTACACTCACCATACGAAACACAGCAGCATTACGCTGCTATTCTCTGAGAGCGTAGTCCTGGCCCGGTTGAGCCCATCTATTCGTCCTACAACTATAATATCTCTGATCTCTCTATAGGCTCTACCACGTAAGAAACTAATAACTAGTTGTTTCAAGCCTGTTTTTATTTTTTAAATTGAGTCACTAAAAAACCAACAGCACTCCAAGAGCAGTAGTACCTAAACTTGGACATTGCAACCAACTGGTCAATTTCTGGATCTAGAAATTAGCATAATTAAAAATTTTATCAAAACCGATAGATATACCGCGTGGTACTCCACGATGCCAGATAAAATCCTAATCTTAAGGTTTTATTAAAAAATAATAGTATTAATAAAGGGTTTTTCAACAAGAACTTTGTTTTCTAAGACAAAATAAAACAAAGAGTTTAGATGAAGATGATTCAAATTTTTATTGTATTACGAAGAGAAAAGTTTGGCAATTATGAATGAAAAATGATATCTGGCAAATGTCCACCACGACCACGCTGACAGATGTCGATTCTTTCATCAAAGTTTTTAATCACTTTTTGCCAAAATGGCGGGTCTATTTCGTTAATCACGTCACGGATTTTGAGTTTTAAGGCCGCGATCGATTCGATTGGCTCCGTATAGACTCTGTCCTTAACATAGCCCCACAAAAAATAATCCAGTGATGTTAAATCACACGATCTGGCTGGCCATTTAACAGCTGAATTTCGTAAAATTATGCGATCGGGAAATTTGGTTTGCAATAAATTGATCGTTTCGTTGGCTGTGTGACATGTGGCACCGTCCTGTTGAAACCACATGTTTGTGATATCGATGTCATCAATAATAGGCCAAAATTGAGATGTTAACATCTCGCAATAGCGTGGTCCATTGACCGTTACCGCATTTCCAGCCTCATCTTCGAAAAACGGCCCAATCACACATCCAGACCACATAGCGCACCATACAGTGACACGTAGAGCATGCAAAGGCTTCTCAATAATCGCTTTAGGATTTTCAGAAGCCCAAATGCGGCAATTTTGCTTGTTGGCGTACCCTGACAAGTGAAAATGGGCTTCGTCTGAAAAAATTATTTTTTCAGAAAAACCAGCGGGCTGTTCCTGAATGAATTGAGCGAATCTACGGCGATGTGAATGGTCGCTCAGCTTCAATTCCTGCACCAGTTGAACCTTGTAAGGCTTAAAAGCCAAATCCTTACGCAAAATTTGCCATGTGGTGGTTTTGGATAACCCCAATTGTTGAGAACGTCGAGGAATTGACAAATTTGGATCTTCTTCAACACTGTGGCTCACGGCTGCGATGTTTTCGGTTGAACGACCCGGTCGAACACGCGTTGGTGTTGGCACATTTTGTACCAAGCCTGTCGATTCAAATTTAGCGACCAAATTCTTAATAGCGGTCTCAGAAGGACGATTTTAGTTGTCCGAAAATATCACGAATTTTACGAAACGTAACTTTAACAGAACCACCATTTTCATAGTGGATTTTAATTATATTAATGCGATTTTAGAGCGAAATTGAATTTATTGTAGCAATTGCCAAAGCATCTACTACGAATAGGTCAAAAACCTAAATGTCAAAACTGTCATGTTGTTGGTGTTGCCCCAATTGAAAAACAAAGTTCTTGTTGAAAAACCCTTTATTAACCATGTAGTGGCGGTATAAGAATATATACTACCCCATAACATCCTGTGGGTGTCGTAAGAGGCGACAGAGGGAAACGAATCAGTAGATGAGCAGCAGCATCTTCCTAATAATGAACTAAGAATAAAAAACTACAGTTGCCATTAAAGCTGCCAAACAAAGAGATGGGCAGTAGGGTTTTCCTCATAAGAACTAGAAGTAAAAAACTGCGGTTGCCAAGCGTGGCAACTATGGCAAATATCTCTTTTTTATACGTGGTAGAGCCACGCTGCAGGTATGTTATGGTTGTAGCACAGATGGGTCGGCTCGACCGAGTAAGGACCACACTCTTACAGAAATGGTATAGAAATCCGGGGACCCTTTTTTACTGGAAACAAGGCATTCCATCTTAGTCCTCAATGGTGGCAACGCATCTACTTTTTGATTCTTAATCGAGGATAAATGTAAATGTCTATAGACCACAGCATTCACTTACTCTCTCGTGAATTGTGTGCTCGTTTGTCACCCTTATTCCATTTAAAAAAAATGAAGTAATCTATGTCATGAATTAATATAAGATTTTTTCACTGACTAAAACTATAGGTTTCATGTATACAAATATAAGTTTCAGACTAAATACGTCCCACTGATTGCACACAGCTGCATGGAACAGGTTTCCTCCCATTTCTGAGAGGGTATTGAACTGGTGCGTGTTGGTCGACTTCTCATGTCCTCTTAATATTTTATTCTTCAATCTTACAGGTTTCTTCACCATGTTTCCTCCGCCACCAAACACGTTGTAAAACAACACTTAAAATTGTAATGAAAAATTTTATGAGTAGTTTCTCGTGAGGATCAAACCCAGGTTGGTGACGTACTGTAAAATTTATGGGAAGCATTACCTCTTAGTCCTCGAGCTACCACGACTCTTTGTACTTACGTGAATTTTGTCATTATAATATATGGGAACTGTTATTACTCAGTACAGATTATAAAAATATCATCAGCGGTTAATAACTCCTAGCTATTATTTAGTCTGTGCTCCAAGTACCCAGTTGATCATTTTTATATTTTTCGAATTAATTTCGAATTTTTCGGGCTAAACTTAATAAATATTTGCAATAACTTATCTATGTCTATCTCTAGAACTATCTAATATACATCGATATATTCTTATAATAAAACCTACATACCTACCAACAGTGTATATTAATTACCTACTTGTAATACTTTCTACTTTGTAATAATGGTACTACAATGCTAACTATGGTGTCGTTTTTAAATAGTTGATAAATAAAGCTACCTATATTATCATTCTTATGAAACTAATTTTACGAATATTATCTTATTTTTATAATGTAAACAACGTTGCGTTAGGTAGAACTAAATATTTAGAGTGCAAATTTTCATCTATGGTTTGTATAGTAAATTCCACAGACAATATAAATATTATGACGTATGTGGTAAATTATATGATATCGCTAACCATTGCTTTAGGTAAGCCAAAGTACCTACGCAGTCTACTATACTATCTAGTCTAATAAGCCACAGGTATCTTAAATTATGATATCTGTGTACTAAGCCCATTATGACGTACCCATAGTAAACTATACCTAATGCCGAGAAACATATAAATTATGCCTTATATTTCAAAATAGAACTTCCAATCTTAAACGACAGTTCCACTATACTTACCTTGTTCTTTGGGCTACCCTCGTTTACTGGAACATATTTTGTTTGCTTCAATTCACGACGCTCCGGCGAGGTACACGTAGAAAAGGTACCGGTGACCTGCGCTGGTTGAAGAATTCCGGGTGCAGGCGAACCGGGACGAGCACTTGCTACATGGGTGCCAAATTGGTTTCCGTATTGATACAAAAAGTGCGGAGGTGACAAAAAAATTTCATATATTTCATGATGACGTCCTCCTAGCTTATTTCAACTAAGGTAACAGATACCGAATAGGCATGTCACTATAAAATAAGATAATTAAAGTGGCTTAATCACCTTTAGCTTTGTTTGTTTTTTCTTAATGTATCTGTTTCATTTCTTGTTCGTTGAATTTAGAATTCCAAGTCCATATAGTATTAGTACATTTGGTTGTATTGAGCGGCCTGCACCCACTATATTTAGTAAGGAACGATGAAAAATCCCCTTAGCTTAAAGTGTATGGTCAACGAGTTGTTTATAATTAATTAACTTTCCACTTTTAGACAATCATACTCAGTAAGTATGTCTCCAACCCCTTTTTTGTCGACATTGCACGCATTCGAACTAAATGGTTTGATTCATCTTTCCGTCCGATCAAATGGGTGTATGCAATAGGTAATAGGCAAATATGAATAGGTAGGCTTTTTTTGAGTTAGCATAGTGTGATTTATCATATAGGACTTCATTACCCGCTGAGATTGTAGTACACCAACTCGAGCACTATCTTAATAAATATAAAATAATATATTAATTATGTACAGACTCGCAAGGCTTATTTTAGTTATATTCCAGTTAACTCTTCCAAATAAAATGAACACCACTCTTTATCATTGCAGCCTCACACGTAACCATTGATGAATACAAGCTAGTTTCAAAGCACGGTCCTGAGACACCAGCCTCTTCAACTCTGTAATTTGCTTTGCCGTTACGAGTATCCTACTCGTAAATCTTTCTTTCACAAGAGTTAGCCTATTGTTCCGCATTAGTAGTTATTCACTATAGTTTTGTTAAAACAAATGGGTGCGTTTGGCAGAAAAAAGCGCTAGCAAGCGCTTGTAAGCAAAATGGCGATCGTAAGCGGTAAAAGCTGTCAAATCGTAAGTAGCTATTTTCCTCCAGGACACGATGTTAGTTTTAACCGGGGAACCTAACCTAATTTAAATATATGTTTGTAAAGTATTCATATTAAAAACTTACCAATCATGAATTTTTAATAACATGTATATGTTTATTCATGTCATTATATTACTTAAAACTAATATTGCGCAAAACAACTTATAAACTCTACTTCAAAACAAACAAATTAAATAAGCAAAATGGCGGATTGTGTCAGCGCTACTGAAGTAGCAATCATGTCCTTGCCGAAAACTATTTCAGCGCTTATAAGCGCTTGCTAGCGCTTTTTTCTGCCAAAGGCACCCAATGTATTTTCATTCTATTACCATTTGAATCCTATCTGAGTCACGGGTTATATACTTACTTAATATTCTTTGTCATAGGAATCGAAGTAGGGCACAACTGCATCTAAGAATTGGATGTAAAGCCAGCACTAACATTTAAAACGTAAGCGTTGTTGACATGGCTCTACATGGATTGCCGATGCGGAGAGTGTATTTTACAGCGGTATTGCCATTGCTAATGTAAGATGCGATGACGTGCTAGCAGATATTAGAAACGCAAATATTCTTTTACGATAAAAACCCGATTGATAATGACTAAAAAAAAATAAAGTATTGAGCAAGAATGTTTTTTTATACTGAAAACTTCTTTAGCGGCGTTGTAAACTTTTTTGTAATGGGTAAAAAATGTTAAACTCGCGTCAAGACACGTGACCCTGACGGAAAATTCGTAAGACGGATGGAGAAAGAGAGAGAGACAGCCGGCGCGGCGTAGGAGAGGAAGTATCCCCCTCTCTTTCTATGGCGCGGCGAAAATGTATGCCTGCGCCTGCTGTGTCGTTTAGTTGTGTACGATAGCGCAATAAAGAAATATTGTATTCTACCAAATAAATGATAGTACTTTTATACTGATAATTAAAGCAATTCGTGCAAAATTATTCCCTAACCATTCCAAAATATCAAAAATGCACAGCGTTAATATTCAAGTTTTCACTTCTGCCGGCACTCCCGGAGTGCAACCCGTCATTTTTTTTAATTATTTTCTTTTTACACGACGCGACGTCAGGTGGATATTCTTTCGGCGGACAGTGAATTAATTTCATCCCTCAGACACACAGTTAATATTCCATTCGTGAGAGCTCCAAACAGTTCAGCTAACAAAGACGTAATGACTACGTAATGACTAGATTTGCAGATCATCGTTATTAGAACTAATTTTTACTTATTTCAGTTGGGACCAATTTTATAGATATTCAAACGTTTATACATTATGACTGATATTCTTGCCACGTTAGGACTTTGATGTCACCTTAAGGCCCGCACACTACATACGGAATTCCGAAACGGAACGAACGGGTCGGCCACACACACACGGAATCACGTTTTGCCAGCAAAATTTAAAACAGAAAACTACCGTAGGCTTTGATTTATAGATTAAGTACACTAGATTACTAATCTTATTTATTTGTATTATTTATATATATATAATATGTATTACCGCGCCAAAGCATGCCATTGCAAATATGGCCACAGCCATATGCCTAGCTAACATCAGTTCAGTGTTCAATGTGACGCCGACGGAGTTGAGCCGAACGATCCGCGACAAAAAATGGGTAAATGCGTAGTGAAAGAATGCGATTCAAGGTAACAAAAACGTAATAAAACAAGCGGAATCACTTTCCACACATAAGTTTTACTTCATGTTTCCATATAAACGTAAAAACCTAAAATAATTAGATAAAATTATCGAATATTGCGATTTAGGTTAAAAGTTGCCACTTTTCCGCCTTTGTAATTATCCCACATAAACGGGAGACTATATAATTAATGGAGTAAGTTAATTTGTTACCTTTGATTTTAAATATTTTGGAAATTATAATAAAAACTATTTTTAAACTTTCATACAAAATAATTAATTATTCTTACGAATCGTATGTACGTGGCGGGCCGTGTTCGTTCCGTTTCGAAATTCCGTAGAAAGAACCATACAACGAAGGCTACATATGCACTGTCACCAGTCAGTCATCACAGTCTGTAATTATACCAGATCTCTAAACCCTTCAGACGGAACACAGCAGTACAAGCACTGTCATTTGGCAGCAGGAATATTTAAGAAGGTGATACCCACCCCCCAGACGTATTTCTAAGCAGAAAAGAAGTCTTAACACCTGGTAGTAGCAGTCTCATAGCTATAATATCTATTAAAATAATAAATATTATTTTGTATGTTTAATATACAGTTTCTTGATTCTTGTTTACTTTAATTACTTGAACGCTTGTTTTGTTCTTGTTCCTTGTTTTCTATTTTTTCTAATTTTCAATATTTAAAAATAGTTTGTAAAATCCAAAAGTACACGCCTCATAAGCGTTTTTATTTCTTTCAACAAAATTTCATTTAATTTTGATAAAAAACCGAGTCTGATAACAACCAGCAATAGGGATCATCCTTAGGATAAATGGAAACTTATTCAGAAAAATTTATTTTATTTCGTTGCGTATATTTTTCTGAAACGTGAAGAAAAACAAGTGCGCAGACTAGCTGACAGTCGTACTAATAATTTTTTAAAGTCCATTTTTTGTAAATAGTTTAATATTTTTTATTAATTAGAATAAAATAATACGCTGACTTTATAATTTAATATATCTAGTTGTCAAAACATCCCTTTTTATTGACTTAATGTCTAAATTGGGACATACTAACAATTTTATATTGCAAAGTCGTCAAATAGCGGCACGGCATGTCGAGAGTAGAGCACGATCACACGCTCGCGCGTTGCAAGGCGTGGAAAATTTCATCAGTAAAACTAGCACGTCATCGCAGCGAACTATAAGCTAAATTATAATAAAATCTCACGGTTGAATTTGTTGTTGCTTGTATAGAGCTTCCCAAGCAAGCCGAAGGGCTGACGTGGCGGCACTAACAGAATGCCTTCCCACCAGAATACTTCTTTACACTGCAAGCGACCGCTGATGTCTTCTCCTGGCTCTGTCAAAGATGATTGAATTTTTTCATAAAAATTCTTTGTCTTTTTCTGTCTGTTTTTTAAGTCCACAACTAGATATAGGTATATTTTAAATGTGTTATTTATTCTTCAATAAACCGTCAAGCCTCCATCATCAGCAGGAAGTATCATCCATAAAGTTTGTAAATAAATAAAATAATTTCCACACATTAGCTTCTGTAGTCGAGAGCTGTAATTCTCCGATACACTACGTTTTTATTTTTTATAGAATTAGTGTGACAAACGAGCACACAGTCCACCTAATGGTAAGTGGATGCTGTGGCCCATAGACATCTACATTTAACCTCGATTAGGAATCAAAACGCAGATGCGTTGCCACCTCTGAGGACTAAGATGGAATGCCTCGATTCCTGTAAAACGGGTCTCCTGATCTCTACACTCACTATACGAACCACAGCAGCATCAAGCTGCTATTTTGCGCTGGTATTCTGTGAAAGCGTGGTCCTTCCCCGGTCGAGTCAACCCTTTCGTGCTACAACTATAATATAGCTGCAGCGTGTCGTGGCTCCTACTTCAGAAGCTATTTTTATTATATCATCTTTTTATTGAATAAAACTATTATTTACGGATTTTATCGCGCTTAATTCAACTTTAATTTACTTTTACTATCCTGACGTTTCGGGTGCTTTACAGCACCCGTGGTCACGGGGGTGACACCCCAACACCCCCCACCCCGTAAAATCCGTAAATAATAGTTTTATTCAATGTGTAGTGTTCGCGTAAATTTAAGAAATCATTATCATCTTTTTAGTTTTCACAGTCGATTTTTTTTGAGTGGTCTTAATAATATACGAACCCCAAGGTAGCTACTGGTAGCTACTAGAATGTAAGGCTACAGAAAAACCATTACCCCCTCTTTTCCCACGCTCAGGGGTTTAGCCTTGAGGTATTATGGCCTTTTAAGCAAAAATAATCATTTAAATCGTTTCAGTTGTTTCCGAGAAATTAGTGAACGTACCCACATAAAAAACTTACGCTTTCATTATAAACCTCCTTAACTTCGCTACGCATAGATCGGTAATGTGTTTATCAGCCTAAATATGTATGTATATATGAAGGTATGTATGTTCGTTCCTTTGTGGTGCTCTAGAAACCAAATGCGTGGCCCGATTTTGAGGATTCTTGCGTCAATAGATTTTTCATAATCAAAATTCAATATGGCGACAACCAGAAGCCATATTGTAAAAATAATAAGTGGTAAAATTCAATATAAATAAAATGAGAACATCATCAATGTAGTCGAAGTCAATTAAATACACCATTATTAAGGATAACTCAAAATCTACTGGTCAGATATTGATCAAATTTATATGAGACCACATGAAAAGCACCAGCTTTCATATAAAGAAAGAATCATCAAATCGGTTCACCCAGAAAAAAAAATGAGGTAACACAAAAACTACAGTCGAATTATGTACCTCTTCCTTTTTGAAGTCGGTTAATAAAATGAAAGTCGACGAACTATGTCAAGTGGAGTATCATTGAATAGGTCTTTAAAAATCATCTTTAGTTCTAATAATTATTCATTTTATCTGACTGGATGACCATTTAGGATTTAAAATTTGCTATCAACCATTCTTACTTAAATTTTCAAAAGTGAGTAGTTAGTAAGGCTGTGATTAAGTTCTTCGTTCATCGCACAGCATTCGAGTTTTTGAAGTAAAACTTCTTTACGCACGCTTGACTTGGGGCGTAAGCTGGCGAACGCGTGGCGAAAGCGTTACGAAAACTGTGATCGAGCGAGGCGAACGGGAGTTGAGTTGGGGATATAAGCAAGAGAGATCAGTGCGCGTGCACATTTTCTTTCTCTCTTTCCCTCATAGCCAGTTATATTTCGTAATTTTATCTCATTTTGAACAATTTTAGTTCAATACATTAAATATTTGTAGAAAATTAATATATTATGTATATGTATATACATGTATATATTATACATATATGCATGTATGAATATATATATATATATATATATATATATATATATATATATATATATATATCTTGTGTCGTCATAGGCACACTCCTTTTTGATTTAAACAGTATTCAACCATTATGCATGTTTGAAGTCCTTTAAAAAATACACACTTGTTTACTTATTTCAAGAAATTTATTTATGTTACAAAAACAAAATCATAAGCAAATTCAATCTTCATACGTTGGACTTTTCGGTAAAGTATCATTTTGAAATGGTGAACTAGGTGAGACCTTCACTTCTGTTTCGGTATCATTTTGTTTAGAAGAATTTGAACGTATTTCATCATCATAAATAACCTCTTCATTTACTTCTTCCATTTCCAATGCGAAGAGTACATCACCTATTCGTTGCTGTGCTAATATTCTGTTACGTGGGCCAAGCTTTCTAAGTTTATAGGCGATGAATTCACCGAACAAGCCGTATTCGTCTTTATATGGGTCATCAGGTAGCTTGTTTATGTTGAAAGCCACGTTATCACTTAGTTCACGACGCGCTTGATGAATCGATGTACTTTCTGTAACCGGTTGTAAAATGTCATTTAATTTATCTTCGTCGAGTACTACCTCTGTTTCTAACTCCTCCTGTAAAACAACACCGAAAGATTCTTATAATTGTAAATCAAGAACGTTCAAGCAATTATTAAACTATATTTTACTTAATTCGTTTTTATATAACATCATCATCTATACTGCCTTTTATAATTCCATTGCTGAACACAGTCTTTCCCAAAGCAATGTTACAAAAGCACGCTCCTGAGTCACCAGAAACAGAAACTTTTTTATTCAATGTAGATTATAACAACCAACAAAAAGAACAATCTCCCATAGGAGAATAGTTGAAAATTGTCCATCCGTCGCCGTAAAATACGTTGAGAGTGATTTTAAAAATTTTGAAAGCAAAAAATAATTATTGTAAAAAGAATTATTGTTAAAGTCTGTGCAGTAAAAAAATTATCAAAACTTCTTTAAAATTCAGACTGTAGCTACAGTGGCACCACCCTTACTTAGCGCTTTCCTACGGACACTTTTTTATACATAGTCTGTACTCCTTACCTCTACACTCCATACTCCATAGTCATTAATTAATAAAAATGACAGCTTGCCGCCATGACCGGTTTTGTTGAGTGTTGCAATTTTAAGTGGAATTTCCTATGCTTTACCAGCAAACAAAGCCATTATAAAATAATTGGACGGTTGAAAACCGATTAAAATCTGTTTCCCTGTTTTTGAGTGTAGTGTACAAGGACCTGGCCCAAGCTCCATATAATTTGGAACATCTATCTCGTTTGAACTTTATGTTTGATGTCATTTCAATTTATTACTTCAGATCGTATGCATTGGAAAGTAATTAGGGTTGAGATTAGAATCGTTTGGCAGGAATTTGGAGGAGCAAGGTACTGTATTTGGTACAAGTTTGGTCCCCGATTATAACAATACCACTCGCATTAAAAGGATAATGCACTGTTTTCGAGGAGAAAAAACTATTATAGCTTAAAAATGGGTAAAACATGGAAAAATGAATGAGAGTTGTATAGCATACATAGTTTTGTGTAAGTGCGACAAGGACGTAAGACCATGTCAAAGACTAGTGTCATGGGTGACACAAGGTGACACAAGGGTGACAAACGAGCACACAGTCCACCTGATGGTAAGTTTGTACGTGGTAGAGTCATGCTGCAGTTATATTAGTAGTATACAATATGTAACGTAATTAACGCACACCCTCGGACACCCAATTAGTATATTATGTAATAATCATAATACATACACTGAATTTTATTTTTTCATTTTATTTAAACATTTTTATGCACTGATTATTTATAAAATTAGTTATACTAATGCCGGAAGAATGTTGTGGTCACAGTACAAATCCACGAACGCAAAAACTTTAGCGTGCTCGAAATAAAGTTCATTTTTCTTTATTTTTATTGAATGACAGAATTAGTAATAATACAAATAAAACTGCACTCTTAAAAGTCTTATTGCCTTAAGTTACGGTCCATTTCAGATTGTTTTGACTGTACAGATTTAGTGTGACTGTAATTTACGTAGTTTTAATTATTTTTGGGATAAAAAATTACCTATATTAAAAATGATAGGAATCGATTCAGTAAACGATTCTGAACAAACTACTTTCTCAAAGTGCGTTAATTATGTTACATGTTGTAGTTGTAGCACGAATGGGTCGGCTCGACCGGGGAAGGACCACGCTCTCACAAAATACCAGCGTGAAATAGTAGCTTAATGCTGCTGTATTTCGTATGGTGAGTGTAGAGAACTGGAGACCCTTTTTTACTGGAAACTGGCAGCGTGTAATGTTTCCTTCTGAAATATTAGATATATTTTAAATTAATCAGCATTATAAATGGATAAATGTAACTACATATAGTTAGGAATATATTATGTAGTTTCGTTTATCAATTTATAGATATAGTTTATACATTTATGGCAGAAATACGAAAAAAAGTTAAAAATGAGAAAAAAAAAAATGCAGCACTGAGGCTTTGTTTTGTGTACCTATATATATATATATATATATATATATATATATATATATATATATATATATATATATAATACGTAGTAAGTATACAAGAAACAAAAAATAAATATTACCTTACAACGATGGTGACTAACCATCTACGTAACAAATAAGTTTAGCTCTGTTTCCACTAGCGACATCTGATGAGAGTAAAATTATTTGCTCTCATTCAATACATTTTTATTGTTTTCTATTTAGCAATAATGATCGTAGAAAATCAACTTAATTAACCACGGGCATTTTACGCCTGACGTAAATGAATTGATTATACTGCCATCTATCGGAATGCATTGGAACCTTCTAACTCTAACTTAACTCATAGCGTAGGTAAACTATTTATTAATCTGTGCTCATAGTCATAGTCGCTTCTAACGACACCTACCTACCTACATCAACACCACAGCAGAAAATTTTATTTGTTCTAAAAAATAAAATTCATACCTAGCCTACCCTAAAATACCTCCTTTTTTTACTAATAAGTGAAATGTGCGTAATACGTAAGTACATAATACGTCATAACAAATTATTATAATAAATCTACCTATCAGTGAATTTACGATAAAATTAATTTACTATAATTACCTCACCGTCGTCACAAGATTCGTCGCTATTTTCAACTTGCTCGTCGATTCGCAGCTTCTTTGGTGAAGCATTGAGTAAAAATAAAAGATGTTTATAGGCAAACCAAGAAGAACAATATCTTTCTCCTTCTGTTTTTCTTACCACTTTTTGATATTCTTTTGAAAAGTAAGATCTCAAACTTTTTATTTTGTTTTTTATTAATCTCAAATTCATATTATATTTCATACCCAGGTCAGTTAACGCAACGATTCGTTTCCTTTTATTATTGTAGTCCTTTAGCCTTGAATCCCATAAGACTTGGTGTTTTTTATAATCTCTTATAAATTGCAACGTTTTTGCTTTATCTTCTGACATTTTTCGTTCAATTTATTACACCTACAATCAATGGCGTGCGTCAATGAATGCGCTGTCAAATACACTAGTTTGTAGCATTCAATTCAATGCCAGTGTGACGCATGCGTTTTGTTTGTATCAATATCAAGCGTCAGCACAGATAAAAAGTTTTTGGTAAATCCAAGCGCTCATGTTGTACTTCAATTTTTTAAAGTATATTAAATACACACAAGTTTTCACAAATAACCTTATTAATATTACTTCTAATTTTCCGATACTATTATGTCAAATCAAACGTCAATAACAAGAGGTTTGGAAAATCCAAAAGTGGACGAATCTTTTTGCATATAATATGATCGTGAAAAATAGTAAAAAAAATCTCAATCAGCAATAAAAAACCGCGCAAAGCGCGTAGGTAATAGATTTTCTATACTTTATGAGACTTTTGAGGATTCTTTTGATTGTTTTATTACTTATTATTGAAATTATTTATATAAAATAATTTAATATTATCAAAACTCATCGGATCAACTGTTATCTTGCAGATCGAAGTATCAAGTTCATAGTAGACGGTGCATGCTCCGATTACAAGCCCATTAACGCTGGTGTTCCACAAGGCTGCGAACTATCACCAACGCTGTTTCTTCTGTATATCTCATATTTGCAGCTATCATATGTTGCAAACCCGTAACATTATTGACAACGCGCGTAACAACACTGGTGACACACGGGCCGTGCCAAAATTTCTCGGGAAAACGTCGCTGAGTACCGGAACAAACTTACCTGAATTCGAGACTGTTGAACAAAGTATCAGACTCGGGGCGACTAAATCTAGTCCAGTTCAATCACCAGCAGACACAAGTTCGTCGACGACCGAGTGCTTTCCGATCGCCCCTCGATTCACTGGCGCTGCGAAGAAATGTTGCATCCCTTTGCATTTTTTTCGCATCTATCACGGAGAGTGCTCTGAGGAGTTTTTCGGATTAATCCCAGCAGTCAAATTTCATGAACGCACATCGCGGCGAAACTCCCGATACCAAGCACACCATCTGGATGCTTGGCGGTCCACTACTGTTCGTTTCACTAAGAGTTTTCTTCCGTATACGACCTATTTATGAAATAGTTTACCACCGGCGACTTTTCCGAACCGATTCGACTTAGGGACCTTCAAGAAAAGAGCTTACTCCTTTCTAAAAGGCCGGCACCGCACCCGCAACTCCCCTGGTGTTGTGGTTGTTCATGGGCGGCGGTAGTCACCATCAGATAAGCCGTACGCTCGTTTGCCCCCTCTCCTATATAAAAATGTAGGTACAATGTCCAATCGTGCAAAAAAAATTCAAATAGATGTCACCAAAAGAATAATAATTTATAAACTTCCGGATACTAATAACCATTGAGTGGTAAAATTAAACATTTTGTACAACCGACTTCAATATAAATAAAATGACAACATCATCAATGCAGTTGAAGTCAATTAAACGCGCATTATTAAGAATAACGTGAGCAGCACCAGCTTGCAATTAAAAAAACATTACCGAAATCGGTTCATACAAAAAAACAGTTCTGAGTTAACACACAAAAAATAATACAGTCGAACTGAGAACCTCCTCCTTTTTTGAAGACGGTTGAAAATAGAAAATGCAGAAGAATAATTCATGAAAAAAAGAAGTGATAACTTGATAAAAAGAACTAAAATCGTCGAAAATAGAAGAATACTTAAAGTAGACACGTAGATGGCACTGAAGGTGGAGTTCATATTATTTAATGTTGTTGTTATTATTATGAATATTATTTACTTATCTTCACGCACAATCCCTAACGGGGTAGCCAGAGAGAACAGATCGCCAAGTGTCACGATCCTTACATACCTCTTTCGCTTCTTTCAGGTTCATTAACTTCTTCATACATGCACGTCTAGGTATCCGAGTACTCTTGACCTTCCCCTCTTCGAGCAATTTGCTCACATTGTCTTCGAAAGTTAGTCTCGGTCTACCTCGACATCTTTTAGTATTTACTTTCGCTCTATATATCTTCTTCACCATTCGGTCTTCACCACTGACCTCTACATATAGAAGTACGCTGGACTAGCTATACACCGTGACATGATGAAGCGATTTGATTTCCGCCATTTTGGCGCTGACAGCAGAAGTGCACGTCCACGGAACTAATAATAGGGATAAGACAGTGTACCAAATTATATCGATAAAATTCTATACCCCTACCATACCTAAATAAATAGAATGGACTCTATGGATAGATGGACTCTATCCGTAACGTCCATTCTATTTATGTATCATATTAATATAATGCCATTATCATTCATCATCATTAAAACCCTTCACAAGTCCACTGATGAACATAGGCCTCCCCCAAGGAATGCCACAAAGCACTGTCCTGTGGCGCATCGCTATTCGCCATACCAACACTCCTCTTCCCTTTCGACTGCACCTCAACTACAGCGGCACAGGAAGAGGAATCTCCTCTAGTACATACAACGTGGCTCGACATCATCAGGCGACCTTTCGACACTTCGCTATGGCCTTTGAGTTTGGTGGAAAATGAGGAAAGAAGAAATAAAAAACATTCGAAATAATAATCTATTACTTTTATACTTACTGGTACTGGTACTACCAGAAAATATTGTCGATATACTGCACTTTTTCAAAGTGGTGTAGTTCTCATGTCTAATAAAATAGTCGTCTGTGAAACGTTTGGAACAAATATGGTCATTTTGTTTCGGACGCCAATTCACAATATTTATGCTTTTAAGCCATAACTTTAGTCTAGGTTCAGTTGGAAACCTGTTAATTAATAAATATTTGATAACCGTCTGTTGTTGGCGACTTTGTTTGTTAACAGATATGGGTAGGATAGAACATCGATAAGTATTATAGACAAGGAACTCGACAACCCTATTGAATTTTATTGTTTATATTATATTACTGAGTATTGATAAACCAATACTCAGTAATATATAGCCAAACATGTTGGTATATATGATATTAAGATTAGTAACAAATTTTTAAGTACTTATAAAATAGTTTTAATTTGTTTAATATTTACTGCAAATTCACTTACTTGTGAAATGTTATACCACTTCCCTTTTGGTAACGAGTTTTACAGATTACGCACACTCTCATTATTAATAAAAATAATTCTTATTGTGTAACTAATATTATACACAATCAAACAACATAAAATACTTTCGTTTTTTAGTTTAAAAGTTCAAAATACGGACTTATTAAATAAGACAATATAAATAAGACAACAGACTTTGACATATAATGTCAATTTTATTTTTCAAGACATGCTTTAGCGGCGCTTCAAATTAGCACAGTCATTTTCTATGGTATAGCCAGTCCAGCGTATTTGTATATATAGAGGTTAGTGGTCTTCACTCATTCGCTCAACGTGCCCAAACCATTGGAGTACGCCCCTATCAATTTTTGTGATAAGGTCATCTTTCAATCCTGCCATATTGCGAATCTCTTCGTTTCGCTTTCGATCGGCTATGGTAACGCCACACATTTTACGAAGAGATCGCATCTCCACTGCATTCAACTTGCTTTTATGCTTCTTCTGGCATACCCAGGTTCCAATATTATTTACATTTCTGTAAAAGCTTATAAAATTCTTAAAGTGTGCGTCGCGTCACACGGGCACGCCGCAGAGAGCAGAGAAACGCTCCGCTGTTTCGTGAATCGCTCCACTGCTCTCTACGGCGTGCCTGTTTAATATCCTCCGGAAACTATAAACCTACGTACCTATTCGCGAGTACAAAATAAACAATACATATCGCGCGCGCTACATACGTCACACACTCGCCGACAGGTGCTTACGCTCGGAAACGGGTCCAAACTGAACATCCAACTTTCAAAAGCTTTAAGAATTCTTATTGCCTTTGCAACATCTTATCAGATTCATTTTGAGGATGTTTAATTTTTGTGCCTAAGAAATTGGTAACGAAATGATTATTATAGTAAATTATTATAATAATATAATAAAAATTTGTATAATTTACTATTATACAAAAATATTGTATATTACATTATATAAATTATTATAATTTGATATTATACAAAATTAATACATTATTTATATCTAAATTAAACAATACATAATTACTAAATATCAATAAAACACCATTTTTATTCCATCTCAAACATTATCTACACTTACCTTTTCCCCTGTATCATGTAGGTGATTGACATAGGGCACTTAATCAAATATAATACAAAAGCAAATATAATATAATACTAAAGAAATTATAGTTTAGTAGACCACAAAAACATTTAATATAGTCGGGATTTTATACCGTTGCAGTGTACTTAGTCTTAAACTGGGCAATACGTCTCTTTTTATTGACACCTTTTGAACATTATATGGCGACCTTGCCGGGTCTAATATTGGAAGGTGTTAAATTAAAATGAGACGTGTTACTCCAAATTCCAAATTTTACTAATATATACATACACTATACCGTAGCCACACAGCGTCTTAGCCCAACGCTTAGCTATTGTGCTAATGGACCAAGAAACAAATAGATTTTAACAATAATTTTTGAGCGACATAATATATGCTCAGCAGTGAAACATATGACAAAGAAAAACCAATCTATTTTCTACCCTCGGCCGGTCTAGGGGTCCGAGTAAATAATAGAATAACCTTCCTTTATCTTACTTCATAAAAGGAATAGAGGATGAAGTTGTCCTCCATCAAGAATGGTTCACCAAGGCGTAGCTGGCGCTACTCTGGCTGCGAATGTGTGCGAAAACGATTCTTGTGGCGCTGCTGAAAACGATACTAGTCTGACATGTGACAACCCACTTTTGGTATCTCGAGGCGGGTATATGTAAGCATGAATAAGTGTATGCTCTAACCTCTAGCAACGAGTCGAGTCAGTCGCTCGGGGAAGACAAGATGAGGCGGGCGCATAGCGATGAGGTCGCGAAAGCGCGTGTACAGCGCAGCCACCGCTGCGTCACCAGCTGTGCGCTCTTCAGGAACGTGCTCGCGGAACTGGCAACCCTAGAGGTGATTGTAGCAACAGTTATAAGGAGAGCTTTGGCGGGAACTTGACCGGCGGATTACTACTCCTGTATTATTGTATAAATAATGGTTTGAAGTGGATTTTATTAAGGAAAATGGTCCGATTCTCTGTATTAAATGTCTGCGTTCTCATTATGAAATAAATGTTCTGTTGGTGATATGAACCTCAAGATAATGGGTCTGCTTAGACCTCAGACTTACAGCTTAGAGATCATCGTCTGTCTGCTGGTTTTTTTTTAGAAAAAGGATGTCAAACGAACACACAGTCCACCTGTATGTAAAAGAGGACTATTAGTTGCGATGATGGGAACGCTGGCAAAATCTTATGGCTTTCCGAAGGACTTTAATACGTGGTAGAGCCACGCTGAAGCTATATTATGGTTGTAGCACGAATTGGTCGGCCTGACTAGGGAAGGACCACGCTCTCACAGAATACCATCGTAAAATAGCAGCATAGTACTGCTGTGTTTCGTATGGTGAGTGTAGAGATCCGGAGACCCTTTTTTACTGGAAACGAGACATTTCGTCTTAGTCCTCAGGGGTAACAACGCATCTACGGTGTGATTCTTAATCGAGGATAAACGTAGATGTCTATGGGCCACAGCATCCACTTAACATCAGGTGAACTGTGTGCTCGTTTGTTACCCTTATTGTATTTTAAAATAAAGCGTAAGAGTCGTGCGATTTGTGTATTAAATGGCTGTGCATGTGAACTATTAATGAAAGTTCCGCAGTGAACTTTATATATGCTGAAATAGTAATAGTATGGAGAATAATATGATTAGACCACCATCCTTCGGAATTCATGAGATTTTCCAGCATTCCCATCATCGCATCTAATAGTCATCTTTTACATCACCTACGGAAAGAAAAAGGGTGATCGATTGTCTTACGCCGTCAACACTCGTGCTACATTTTAGTGGCTACACGGGCTCCGTCCACTCCCCCGTTCTATTGTGTACGTATTTATAGTATTGTATGGAGAAAACGCTACCATTATTTACGTGTGCATTTTGTTAATGTGATTTGAAGTTTAGTTCAGATAAGTATGTAACTTTATTTCGTACTAGTGACCCGCCCCTGCTTTGGCCGCGTTGAACAATTAATTATATACATATATAAAGCCTATGTCTATATCGAATAATGTACTTACATTTTTTCGGAGATTACTCTCCACATACACAAAGTCACGAAATTCGCACTCTCTCTTTCTAATATTATACTACAGAATTGCCTAAAACGGTAACTAACAAAAAGGAAAATACAACTGCGTTGTATATTTACCGTGTCAGCTACACGCCCAACCGCCGATTAATAGCCCTGACACCGTGTTTGTCTGTTACCGGTCTAGTAGTATACACAGAAGTTTTTTCGGAGAACATTAGTTTTTGTCCTGTATACATAAGTAGCTTGCTTATATACTCTAAGGTCTTCACCTACCGTGTTACGCGGGAGAGTTTCGAAGCGGTAGGCGCGCTGTCCGCAGCACGGGTAGCGGCCGGCCGCCGCGTCACCCGCTACCAGCGCAGCGCTCTGCTCGTGGTGGGAACACCACTCCATCTGTTTACAAGCCAATATAATAACTTGTTGAAGTGAAAGGTTCTTTACAATAGTTATGAATTGATGAAACCAAAAAGTATCTATACTAAAAGGAGACATACATAAGGCCAAATACTCAAAAGCTACAGCTAGGTAAAGCTACAGCCTATACACGTCCCACTCCTGGGCACAGGCCTCCCGCTCATTTCTGAGAGGGTTTTAGGGCAAGGGATTGTCCGCCGCGCTACCCCAATGCATGTTGGCAAACTTCACATGTCTTCGAAATATTTTTTTCTTATTTCTCAGACATGCAGATTTCCTCACGATGTTTTCCTTCACCGCCGAGCACGTGGTAAATCAGCACTTAAGACGAGGTCTTAGCACGATTTCAAATTCGTTTTTCACCCGCGCGTCCCGCAGTGGGCGGAGCGCAACCGGCTGTCGGAGAGCGCCGCGTGAACACAGTATGCGCAAAGCAAGCAGACAATTCACCTCCAAACAAAAACTTTTCCGTGAGGTCTACTGTTCTCAACACTACTAGGTATTATAGTAATAATGTTTTGAGTACCTACTCACTAATATCAAAACTGTTTACAATATCGGTAGTCTGGACAAATCGTACTACATTTTAATTATCAATATTTTTTTAAAGTCAGTTTTATGATATGAGCAGGTACTTAGTCAACTATTTACATACATAAACATTAAAAACGCCAACTCACAAATTCTAAAAAAAACCCAAGTTTCGTTGGCAAAATAGCTAAAATAAGAGAAAAAAGAATAGTTTCAAATAAAACCATTAGAAAATTCAAATTTATTTTACTGTTTTCTATTACCTTACCTCCGGACTTGATGGAGTGACCTGAAGGTGTACTTTGGTAATCGGTATTGAAACAGGTCGCCGAGCACTACTAAGTGTGCCGAGTTTGGTCTCGTTTTGTTCGGTATGACGAGCCCTTATCTCCGGACTTGATGGAGTGACCTGAAGGTGTACTTTGGCAATCGGCATTGGAACACGTCGCTGAGTCCTACTAGGTGTGCCGAGTTTGGGCTCGTTTTGTTAGGTATGATGAGTCCTTACCTCCGGACTTGACGGAGTGACCTGAAGGTGTACTTTGGTAATCGGCATTGGAACAGGTCGCCGAGTACTACTAGGTGTGCCGAGTTTGGGCTCGTTTTGTTAGGTATGATGAGTCCTTACTTCCGGACTTGACGGAGTGACCGAAGGTGTACTTTGGTAATCGGCATTGGAACAGGTCGCCGAGTACTACTAGGTGTGCCGACTTTGGGCTCGTTTTATTAGGTATGACGAGCCCTTTCCTCCGGACTTGACGGAGTGACCTGAAGGTGTACTTTGGTAATCGGTATTGGAACAGGTCGCCGAGTACTACTAGGTGTGCCGAGTTTGGGCTCGTTTTGTTAGGTATGATGAATGCTTACCTTCAGACTTGACGGAGTGACCTGAAGGTATACTTTGGTAATCGGCATTGGAACAGGTCGCCGAGTACTACTAGGTGTGCCAAGTTTAGGCTCGTTTTAAGCACGGCACACCTAGTACTACTCGGTGACCAGTTCCAATACCGATTACCAAAGTACACCTTCAGGTGACTCCGTCAAGTCCGGAGGTAAGGACTCACCATACCTAACAAAACGAGCCCAAACTTGCCACACCTAGTAATACTCGGCGACCAGTTACAATAGCGATTACCAAAGTACACCTTCTGGTCACTCCGTCAAGTCCGTTGGTAAGGACTCATCATACCTAACAAAACGAGCCCTAACTCGGCACACCTAGTAGTACTTGGCGACCAGTTCCAATAACGATTACCAAAGTACACCTTCAGGTCACTCCGTCGAGTCCGGAGGTAAGGACTCATCATACCTAACAAAACGAGCCCAAACTCGGCACACCTCGTTCTACTAGTCCAGGTGTTCCAGTATTAGTTACTGAAGTTCACTTTCAGGTCACTCCATCAAGTCCGGAGGTAAGGTCTTATCTGTTATATATACTATAACTGACAAAACCAGCTCAAAATCCACAGCTAACTTCTCAGTGCCAGCAGAGGGCTCCCAGTGCAAAGCAGTCTCTAGAGTAGGTATTCGTATTTCGTAACTAAGTCTAATTACTCTTGTATTTGTAGTTGTATCTTTTGTATGTATTTTGTATTACTATAAGTATATTTTTGAGGTGTAAGAAATCAAAAACAAATTCGATCTTTCAAATTATCAAAATAATTTTATTTGACTACGATTCCCGCAGCCAACCGTGCGTACACTTGTGTGCGGGTGTGTGTGTGGGACTCATGTCAATGTAAATGTAATAGCACGGTAATTTTATCTATACAGTATTCCAACTTCATAGAAACGGACGAAGCGAGAGCTATGCCTACGCGCCTCGATCTCGGCATACGCTCGGCATGCAGACAGTCGTGAGTGCCGCAGTGATGATTTTATGGAATATATAAAAAAATGGAGGAAATAAATAATAGAATAGAAATAAAGAAATAATAAATCCGTAATAATAATAAAACCAAACAAATAAATTGTAAAATATCTTTTACTTGGTTATAGATACCTCTTTATCCAAGTAAAAGATATTTCTTTTCTCCACCTTGTCCATTTTTCCCAAAACAATTTTTAATTAAGCTTTATATTAGAATGCGGATTTTTTATACTTAAAAATTTAATAATATAGCATTTCGTACGTCTCAGCCGAGGCGCAAATATTTTTCGGTCGCAAATTCATAAGACCGATTATTATAACATAAACATTATTATTACCGTTATTCAAACATAAATATGGTTTTTTAATTAAATGTACCAATCAAAAAACGACACGCATTTTTATTGAACACTTCCTATTCAATTCGCAAAGTACCTATTATATTTGTTTATATAAAAAAAAGTATATTTACAATCATAAATAATGGAAACTACTACTAAATGGAAACACAAAGTAAGCAAATGTAAAAAATGCTGGAGGCAGGCAGCCCTATCGCATGTTTACGTACCGCGCGGCTGTAGGCATTTATTTCAAAGATACGGCCGAGTTACAATACTGTATAGATAATATTACCGTGGTAATAGTTCGATTCTATACCTATATCAACTTTGTAAACGCGTCCTTAAAAATCTTAACGTAAATACTGCGGCAAAAAGAGCGACACGTCTCTACAGCACCAGGCCTCGGCCGGCAGTGACTGCACACAGGCGTTTACTCAAACATCCGTACGTATTATTTCAGAAATAAGAATATGCGATTTTAAAAAAAAACTATTAGTTGGACTAAAAAATTAAAACACTATAACATTAATATGTTGAATGTATAAAAATCTGACAAAAAATCAGAATGATTGCATGTATACTAGTATGGTTTTTACTAGTTAAAAGAAATTTTAGAGCTATATTTGTGGTTTTTTTCTATCGTATTAAATAAGTGGTATCATGTTTTCAACACACTATCTAACTAGCATATATCCCGGACAATATCATATATTTTTCTGGGTTTGTTTACTGCAGTGGATCATATACTTTGAGGCATTATAAAACTTGCGTTTAGGGTCATGCCTCGTCTTAAAATTGCAATTAAAAATTTCATTGGTGCCGGCGTGGATTGAACCCGTTTTGTTTGCTTACTGTGAAATTTACAGGGAGCGCTAACCATCTGAACCTCTCGCTACTCAATTTTAATATGTTGTTAAGCCTCGCGGTGTCACGTTCACTTTCACTTAAAGAGAAAGAGACAGCATGACACTTAATGGCGTCTTAAAATTGAGCAGCGTTTGAGTGTTTGCGCATTATACATCTATAGGATAGCCTAAGAGAGAATGAGATAGAATACAGTATACAGAATTTTTCTGAAGGTTTCACGTCTACCGCAAGTGTGTTGCACATGTTCTTTTTAATTTTTTACTGTGAAAGATAACATAAACTCTGACGCACCACCTCTCCGACTTCTAATGATATTCACGACTTCTGCAACCAGGGTGGCAGTAATTAAGAATGAGATGAACTTCTTGATGGATTTCATAATGGGGGAAGTTTACTTTTTAATTTGATTGGAAATGGATAAACCAAACTACGGATATTCGTAAAAGGAGAAGAATAAAAAAAAAACAGTTTTAAAAAAAGCTAAGGTATACAGCACTAAGGCATTAATTTGTGCATATACATTATACATACACTAAAAACCGAAAAACTTATCATTGAATCGCATTTTTTCAATGATGATGACTTTTTGACCATCTGCGTTAGAAATAAGTTCACCTTAGTTCCAACTAGCGAGATCCGCATTATAAGCCCTCATTGACACGATCCTAACACATCTCTCTAGTTTCTTTTACATACATATAGATACCGTTACGAGCTTGGGGTTCGTGACAATAAAAACTGCTGATTGAATTAGAAAAATTGACACTTTAATTACAGAACACTAATTATAACTTAAAACACACTGATAATAAAACACAATTGTACTACTGATCACTTTAGTTCGCAGTTATATCGCTTCGAAGTATTCGCTTGAATTGCCAATTCAATACTGAGCCGGTCGCTGTCCTTACCGGCCTTATATAGGGCCTCTTCTACTGAAACTTCTAGAATGTTCGAGTACATACCGGTCTCGAATGACTAGGTGTAGAAAGTTCTGGCATGGAAATCTCTAGAAGGATCTTGACTTTCCTAGTTCTGCTACTCGATACTAGAGGGCGCTAGTGGTAACTAATGTCTCCATGTACCAGGCATTCATTATGACCGCAACAGTACCTAGCAAACATGCTCGTCGTTTAATGTGCTACTTTTTACTTGGAGTGCTGGTACGAGCGGGCGAACATGTACACAGTCCGTAGCGTACTACTGAGATCGCAACGATCTGCACTTGTCTTGTTGACCAAGGCGTACCGGTCCACTAGCACGGCGGCCTTACCGGTGCTGGCTGGCGTTCTCCCTGCTGGCCTGGAGGTCATTCGTGCTGGTAGGATGGGTTTGGAACGCTTGACCGCGCCCAGAGAGGAGTTGAGCAGACGAAAGCGCGATATCTGGACTGAGGTGATTGGCGTATGGCAGAATCAATGGAAAAACGAAACGAAAGGACGTGAGTTAAATCGATTTTTCCCGGAGGTGGCGTTGAGACTCAGGTATACCTGGGTCTCACCGGACTATCAAACATCCCAGATTCTCACTGGACATGGATGTTTTCGAAAGAGACTGCATGACATGCGACTGTGTGAAACCAGTATGTGTGAGTGTGGTACGGCAGAGGAGGATGTTCACCATGTCCTATGCGAATGTCCTCTGTATGACGATCTTAGAGTGAAAGTGTTGGATGGGCTGGTTCGAACGGTTCAGGGACCGATTTACTACTCGGATCTCGTCAGCGATGGGGTGAACTACGGGCTGTTGCGTGAGTTTGCGCATAGGTGGCACGATCGCAGGAGAAGGCAGGAAAGGATGCTGGTAGGAAGGCCCGACGACGTAGGCGTTATTGTGCCGTCAGCCCCAGAAGGGGGGAGAATGACTTTAAACTGGGACAAAGAACAGAATAAATATTTGTAGGGAGTCAAGAAAGTGCGCGCGGAAAAGAGCAAGGTGCAAGTACCGCGCGCATCTCCCGAGATTAGGCCCGTATGACCTGAGGATCGGTGGGGCCATGGGAGGTGGTGGGTTGTCCCTACTTTTTACTTGGCCCAACTTCAATATATCGTCAATTTGATATATTATACACTTCCATCTAGGGCGCCCTCGCCGATTTTGCCACTCACTTTTGCAGCATAAATTTGCTTTATCACACTTAAGAGATTAAAAGTTATTTTCCCAAAATATATTTATTACTAATTAGTACAAATGTAAGTCACTTACTGTCTGTCTGTGTATTCGCTAAAATTTGATGCGGTTTTCACAATAATTTAAAAAACAAGGAGGAAAGTTTAGATGATGCAAATTATATGTAATATTAACTATTGTTTAGAAATCCAGTCGTTGATAACTCGATCGATCAAAGATAAGTCCCACTCGTGCGAACCTAGCTTTGCCAGATCGGAAGACCAAAATATCTGGCCAAATTTTGAAAAGTCAGGATTTTGGGGTTGTTAATATTAAAAAAAGTTCATTTTTTAATTAAGAGGCTAAAAAAATGCTTTAAACAAAACTTATTGAAGTACACTTAACATGTATTTGACATTGAACTTTACTAGTGTCCACCAATTTGGATCCTTTAGTAGTATTCAGAAGTTCTGAATACTACTAAAGGATCCAAATCTGAATCAGAACAGATTTAAAATCAATAAAACAATTTACTTCAAAGTTTAGTCTAATTACTAACTCAGCTTTATTTAATCCAAAGCCATACGGTAACTTTCCGGGGAGTTGTTTGTCTGTAGATTTTGAGTTTTGTCGGGAGTCTGGAGATCGTTTAAAATGTTGGCAGAATCCAGACGAATCCCGATCATATGGCAACCCTAGGCGAACCCGTACATATTTGTAATATTTATTATCAACTGAGAATGACGCTAATATCTACGCGCTTAAACTTCAACGACATCGTTTACATTTTATGAAAAAGTTATAACATAAGTATGTTATGATTTATAAAAAAACAATAGGTGTCATACCAATATCCTTTTCAGTCGGTACATTTTTAAAAGGACCTGAATTAAAAGATTTACAAAAAAAGAAAAACTCTTTCTTTCCTTTTTTGCACGCCAGGTTTCCACATTTTAGTTCTAATTTTTTAACTAATAATAATACTGTGCCAGCAAAAAAAGTATGGTCAAATCCTCAAAACTGTATGTACTGTGTATACTCCTGGCCGGACTACATTTTAGTTTTGTTGGGGGATTTAGAACTGCTAATAGTGATGAAATTATACCTGGTAGACCGGGAAATATGTGTCACATAACTGGCAGCGTAGAAAGTGGCAGTCGGCCCAAAGCCGCCAGTACACGCGCCGCCATGAGCGCAGTTCTCCGTACAACCACGTGATATACTCGTTCAAGCTCCAGGATAGATCTCTAAGTATCAAAATGCACGTTTTAAATCGCCGTTCATATATCGAACAGGCCGTTAACTGACAGTCATTTTACGACATAATTTGTTTAGACTGACAGCTGCAGTACTGTTGGAAACACTTAAGCCTTTAAAATTTGAAATGGGAATGAAGTGTGATTCTTTTAAACTTGGAATAGACATAGAATAGAATCATTTTTGTTTAATATAGATGTTTAACACATAACATCAGGCGAACCGTATGCTCGTTTGCCCCCTCTACTAAAAAAAAATATAAGAATACTTATTGAAAGTCATTTAAACTTTTCCACCGATTTGGAACAACCCTCAGTCCTGGGAAGAACCAACAAGAAACCCAGTGGGATTTAAAAAAATTATACAAATATTATGAAAACATTTTTTTAAAGAATATTAACAATGCTATAAACATTACTAGTATTCCCCTTACCCACTCGTGGTAAGCTTAAATTGCTTGCGTTACGAGTGGTTCACGCCAGTAGTCGAATGGCGGATTCGAACCCACGACCTTTTTGTGTTTGTGGTCCGCGCCCTGCCATTAGGCTACTGCCGCTTTTTAGAAACAGCATGGTAGCAATCACCTCATTCCCAGAAGTTCTTTATTCTTTATTCTTTATTGTACACACAATAAGTTGGTAACAATTATTAAATATTTAAATAAATGTACAAAGGCGAGCTTAACCCTAATAAGAGTTCTCTTCCAGCAAACCTATTGGGAAAGAGAAATAGTTTTATATATAAAGCAAGTAGGTAGCAGCGTGTGTACTCAATAATTAACATAACGCTACTTAATAGAAATTGGCTATAAGTTACAGTTAACAATTAACATATAAGTGTATAACATATAAGTATAATTTATTTTCTTATTCCTTTTATTCTTATTTCTATTAATTTACATACATATATACCAATAAAGATAATAAAGATAATAAATATAAACATATATACACATATACACATATACACACACATATATATACATATATATATATATATACATATATATACATACACACATACATATATATACAATTATACATATAAATACATAAAATATGTAAATATTTATAATTCTAAGTTGACAGATAATATTTCTTTACTCTGCTCCGAAATATATCAAGAGAAGAGCTAGCACGTATGTCATGTGGAAGTGAGTTCCATAGCTTGACCGCCCTTACAGTAAAGGATCCACCACAACGGCTTGTGAAATGAAAAGGAGTTTTGAGAAGTAGTTGTTTAGTGGTCCGGCACTGAGTTTCACGAGGTACAAGATACTCAAAACGCTCGCGGAGATATGGAGGTGCAAGAGGATTAAAGAGTAGAAAGTATAGAAATGATAACACATGTAAGTCTCGACGTTTACGGATAGGAAGCCATTTTAATTGAGCCCTGTACTCTGAAACATGATCAAACTTACGAAGACCGAAAATAAAACGTATACACAAATTTTGAACTCGTTCCAGTTTGTTCAACAGCTCCTCTGAAGCATCCAAAAAACTAACATCAGCGTAGTCAATGAGAGGAAGAAGAAGTGCTTGAGCTAAGGTTATCTTAGTTTTTAACGGTAAAAACATCTGGAGACGCTTGAGAGATTGAAAAGAGTAGTTATTATGAATCATTTACTCTTTAGTTGCATAATAACTCTTATTAACAATTTTCGCTTGATAAAAATTTTAAACTTTTTGATAGACAAGTCCTGCATATTTTCTGGGACTTTGTTGTAAAAGATTATACATTGTCCCATGAAGGAATTACTGACTCTTTGCCGTCGAGTATCTGGTATAACTAACTTGTACTTGATCCTAGTATTTATAGAATGTACATCACTAATTTTAATAAAACTATTTTTCTTTTTATAACATTAAATTTTCGTAAATATTTATTTCTTTAAATATTTCTCTAAGGTGTTCTATCAGCTCTATATTAAAATAGAAATTAATAAAGTTAATAGCTACAAAAAAGGTAAATCTCAATTACTTATGAACCATTCTGCTTTTAGCAAGTGTATGTATGTACCGTTCAAACTATTCCGTACACTTACTTGGTGTGTGAGGATATAACATTCCCACGTCTATCGATCCGCATGCTAGAAGGCTGGCACGGCACCTGTTCGGCAACGTGACGTCCCAGGAGCTTGTTGCATCTAGGAAAAATTAGACACTGATACATTATAAATACCAACGCTGCATCCAGGTGGAATTTTGTCAAGAACAGGATTATAATAAGTAAAAAAAAAGATTTATATTAATTAAAAAAAATGATTGATGAGTGTTTTAATACATCCATCACCCTAAGTTATTGCAGCTATTGAAAAAGCGAGAAAGATGTCATGGTTTCCGATTGATAAAAGAGTTACCATCTTGTTTACGTCAGAAGAAAAATGCAAAGACCGGCGAAGTTATTTCTAAAAGAGAATTATAGAAACAGAGTGCATCTCATTGTTGAAATATATTTAAGCACCACTTTTGAAGTATAACGTTGAGTTTTTATTTTTGCACGCTGATGATATATTAAATTACCTGATAAGTGATAATATACAAAAATATTTTTGACTTAATAAAATCTTACAGATTGGCAAAACTGTTTTCTTTTTATAGTAGGATAGATTATAAACGATTAATGCTGTTTCATACACACCTTTCATTATAAATTAAAATGCAGATGCATTGTCACAGTTGCAGATGGTGCAGTTGTGGCTCCGTGGCGCAGTGGCTTAGCTATGAGTTACAGCGCTGAGGGCCGCGGGTTCGAATCCCGTACGGAGCAGATAGTAAGTATTTGTATGGCCTACAAGTAATTGTTTAGGGTCTAGATGTTTTGTCCTTGTGAAATGGTATACACACATGAATAAATTCTATAAAAAAAAAAAAATTATGTTTGTAAACTGCCGCCACGATACACGAGAATATCCTACTGTGGAGGTAACGTTTAAAAAAAATTGTTACCGACAGTTCTCTTTACTCACCACACGAATATAACAAAAAAAAAATTAATAGGTTCTCCATTCCCGAGAAAATGCTGAATAAGAACCTTCTTGTTTTTAAAGACGGTTAAAAGCGGTCCCCAGTTGTTGCTGCTGAACCTTGCTTCCTTGCCCAGGCCTCCCACAATGAATGCCACAAAACACGTTCCTGAGCCATCCTTCGATTTTCTGCGTGTCTCCAATTCGTCACTCTATCTAGTGGAGTGCTTGCCGTTACGGCCTATTAAAGGCCACTGCCGAACACAGGCCTCCCCATAAATTGGCTCATAGGGGGGGGGGGTATTTGCCACAGTTGCCACGCTTGGCAAGGGAACTGGCAACGGCAGTTTTTTTTAGTTGTAAAAGAATACGCTGCTGCCCATCTGTTGATTTGATTCCCTTTGTCGCCTCCCACGGGATGATATGGGGTAGTGGATTATTTTTATACCACCACTACACGATAAGTGGCGTGCTAATGAAACTTTTTTTTATAGAAGAGGGACAAACGAGCATGCGGCTCACCTGATGTTAAGTGACTACCGCCGCCCATGATCAAGCGCAACACCAGGGGAATTGCAGGTGCGTTGCCAGCCCTTTAGAAAGGAGTAAGCTCCTTTCTTGAAGGTCCCTAGGTCGTATCGGTCCGGAAAAATCGCCGGTGGTAAACTACTTCACAGAGAGGTCGTACGCGGAAGGAAACTGTTTAAAAATGTTTATTATAACTTACTTGGTGCATTTAAACAGCGTTGCCAGTGTAGCGTAGTGCCCGCGCAGGGTCTCCGGCACGGGCTCGGCGAGCGATAGGATTAGCTTGCAGTACAACCGCGATTGTATCTTGTCGCGTCGATCCCGCACCGCCTCGAGCTCAGCGTTCGTATACATTGCTGCAAGACTGTTGATGGAATTATTGATTGGGAATAATCCGGAGCAGGACATGAGCCTCTTACATCGTAGTAAGGATTTGCCGAAATTTACACGCTTGGGTAGATTGGCGATTACAATACTTAACGTCTTTCACGTTTGACGATGGTCGTCAGAGATTTAAATCTCACATTAAAAAAAAACGTTACGTTAGTTTACTTACATAAATTTCGTAAGGCTAAACACCGAGACCCGGAACAAATACTTGGTAGGTCACACAAATACTTGTTCCATACGGGATTCGAATCCGCAGCCCCCAGCATTATTTAACACAAAATTTTATGTGTTATGCGTAATGCATTTTTTGTGTATGTAACTATGTGAAACATTATAAAATTAAATAGAACAAATTGAGTGTAAATAAATAGCCCTCTATTTAATATTATACAAAACACTGTTTGAGTTTAAGCTTTACATAAGCACACTGACTAAACCACTGAACATGCTGCTGTCAAGGATCATCATCATCTTCCCAATCTTTTGAACCACCACCACAATGGAAACACTTGGTCCTATTTATTTTAAAGATATTAAGACAAATTGAAGCGACAATAACCTAACAGTTAACAGTACGCAATCGCTTAATTGAGAAGTGCTGTAAGCCACGGGCTTGAATAATTACGACAAATATTGAATTCGGATCTGGGAATTTGTTTACGTGCAATATATGTCTATGATATATTACGTCTGTACAATATACATGGGATTCCTAGTTTCGGGTAAGATTTTTAACTTCCCGCTAAGAAAATTGAAAATTTTAAAAAATAGGGAAGTTATTGGTTTCACAGCGCCACAACTCGGTGTCAAATCAATGAGTCATATTATATGATATAGTACACCGCCATCTATCGGAGTCCATGAGTACTTTTTGCCTTTTCAGCAGTGATGGATTTACTTACATTATCACAAGGAAACTTCGCAAATGGACTTTTCAAGAATGCTCAAAGTGACACGCATACTACGAACGTTTTGCTTATACACTTTGGTATTGTGGTATTTGCACGAAAAGCGTATTTGCACGCACGAATTGCACGTGGTATTTGCACCTAACGTGCAAATACTCGAATACTTAAAAAAAAGAAACGCCAAAACCTATTTAAAACGGAAATACGTTTCCGACTGCACCAATGAAATTTTTAAGCGCTGGGTTACCACATGCTTAGCTGTAAAAAACTTGTGAGAAAGTATAAATGCCTGAGAAATTAAAAAAAAAGAGAGTATATGTTATATGGGCCGATTAGTAGCCAGAGCGCAACAGACTCTTTCTTGCCCTAAAACACTCAAATGTGTGGTGACCCGGGCCACCTGTGTGATGAATAAAGGCTGGTAATTTATTTATATTTTAAAAATACAAAAACAATACGTTACGTTTTACCGCGTACCTCGTTAGTAGAGTGTCACTCAAACAAGCAAGGTTGGTGGACGTCTTCACAATATCGTTCATGTGAGCGTGACAGAATATCAAACAGTCGTGTAACAGCGGCTCCATCTTTATTGGAAAATGAACAAATCAATATTTTCGATTTATAAGAATATGAAGCAACAGTCTATGGAAATAAAATTGTTTCAAATGAGGTTTTATATCATACAGACATCAAAATACATAACTCCTAAACATAAAAACATTTACTTTATTCTTTATCAGTCACCAAAAAATGGCTGATAAGTTGCCAAGATTGCGCATTAAAGCGCTCGAGATTTTTTCATTATAATGGATTACTTACCAGGCTTATGAATTCTAAACAGTGAACAAAACACATTTTTTTTATAGAAGAGGGGGCAAACGAGCATGCGGCTCACCTGAAGTTAAGTGACTACCGCCGCCCATGATCAACCGCAACACCAGGGGAATTGCAGGTGCGTTGCCGGCCCTTTAGAAAGGAGTAAGCTGTAAGCTTTAAACGACCTGGGGACCTTCAAGAGAAGGTCCCCAGGTCGTAACGAATCGTCGGTGGTAAACTATTCCACAGAGAGGTCGTACGCGGAAGAAAACTCCTTGTGAAACGTACAATGGTGAACCGCCAGGCACCCAGATGGTGTGGATGGTATCGGGACGTTTGCCGCGTAGTGCGTTCACGAAATTTGGCGGTTGGGATTAATCTGAACAATTCCTCAGAGCACTCCCCGTGGTATATGCGAAAGAAAATGCAAAGAGATGCAACATCTCTTCGCAGCGCCAGTGAATCGAGCCGATCGGAAAGCACTCGGTCGTCGACGATTCGGGCCGCTTTTCGCTAGATGTGGTCAAGTGGAAGGAGCTGGCACTGGGGTGCCCCAGCCCAGAGATGAGAACACTATTCTTCTATATGAGGCCGAACTTGCACCTTGTAATGTTGCAAATGGTATGCGGCAATACTGTTCCGTTCTACTAAATAAGGCAAGCTTTTTAGAGACCATTTTAGCCTTCCCTTTTATCGGAACTGAACGTCACGTCACTCGATATACCGACTCTGGGGCTTCCTATACTGGCTCAGGCAGTAAAGGGATTATCCTGAAAATAAGGAGAAACGACAAAGGAAATTAAAAAATAAATATTTTCAAGGCGTGTAACGTCCAGCCATGGGAGGATTCAAATACTTTTTTGGTAACTATAATAATACATTTGTTATAACATTAGTAAGTATAACTACTGCTAGATCTTTCTTCTCTCTGTTGTCATAAAAAACCTACCTGAAGGAATGAAGCCGAAACTAGGATTGGCACTACGTTGTGAGGGTCCAGTAGCGGCCAATCAGCTACCAGGATGGTGTCGCGTTTCACCCATCTCATCAGCCAGTCAAAGATCTGTACATAGCAATCGTCGACTGCTGTATTCTTAATTATTTTTTTAAGAAATTTTGGATAATAAAGGTCGTGCAGTTAGCAGTTATCGTAAATAATAATAATGTAGGAATACAACATGGTAGAGCCACAGCCTTGATACAAACTGGTAATAGACTCACATAATACCAGTGTAAATAGCACAGACCACATAATAGCATTGTTACGGCTGTTTCTTATGGCGAGTGTCAAGAAACGGAGACCCTTCTTAACCGTCTTAAAATAGAAGAAGATTTTAATTTCGGAACCAGTAGACTGATCTCATGAACCTGAACCGAACTGAACCGATTTAAATGATTCTCTCTTTACTTAATAGATTAGCTTAATGGTGGTCCTATAAAAATTTTAAGAAGAATAGATCTTCTTATTTTTATTAAATTCTTATTATTATTATTGATTATCTTCTTATTAGGGGCGTCCATTAATTACGTGAGGTGATTTTGGCGATTTTTACACCCTCCTCCATCAACTCCGACCTCTCTACGAGCTCCTCAAAAATCTCACGTGAGATTTGTGAGGAGCTCGTAGAGATTTTTGAGAATTTCAAAGTTCGTATTTTTGGTGTAAATACTGATTAACATCAGTGTTTGATTGAGTTGAGTTGAGTTTTGGTAGAGCCATGCCGCAGCTATATTAGTAGTATAGATGTAGCACTAATGGGTCGGCTCGACCGGGGAAGGATCACGCCCTCACAGAATACCAGCGTAAAATAGAGCTTAAAACTGTTGTGTTTCGTATGGTGAGTGTAGAGAACCGGAGACCCTATTTACTGGAAAAGAGGCATTCCATCTTAGTCCTCGACAACGCATCAGCATTACTATTCGTAATCGAGGATAGATGTAAATCTATGGGCCACAACATCCACTTACCATCAGGTGGACTGTGTGCACCTTTGTCATTCTTATTCTATAAAAAAAAAACATAATTTGCTTGATTATTTTTATATAATTTATGGAGTTCGTATAACTACGATGAATATAATTGTGTAGGATTTAGCCATATTTACCCCCCCCCCCCATCCCCTAAACACCTCACGTGTTTGAACGCCCCCTTATTATGAATAAAAGTTTTTAATTTACCTATTTAGACGAAATTCTAGTTTATCACGTAGAGCTTGTGATATTGTCCAATCCATTCAAAAGGGTAAAAAAGTTAACATTCAATAAAAATTAAAAACTAACTTTAAACATTAAAATAATAATTTCGCTTTATTGAATTCCATACAATGTCCTTAACGATTCGGTTTGGCACCGACGTCATAAGCTATCATCTACGTGGAAGTAATGATTTCAAAAGAAAGTAATAAATAAGTCATGCGTGGATATTATTTTATTACTTTTTACATTTCGAAGTCGAGTGTTACTATTTTAAAGTTTAGTTTTTACTGGTAATGAGGCATTCCTTCTTACTATTGTAAATGTAGGTGTCTATAGTTCACAGCATCCACTTGTCCAGTCTTGGGGATTGACTCGTCTCGTTTTGTTATGCTTATTTCTAAAAAAAAAACCTACCTGTATATCACAATGTACGGAAATATCCATATCTTCAAGCCTCTGTCCCGCTGTCACATCTGCGAAATAGCCCATTTTTGACACAAGTAATTTCTGAGGACATCGAAAATCCTTTTTCAAGCCCTTTATTTCGTCACAAACATGAATTTCAACATCACCACTGAAAATGAAGAAAAATCTCAAAAAAAAATTCCGATACCGGGAATCGAACCCGAGCCTCCTGGGTGAGAGCCAGGTATCCTAGCCACTAGACCATATCGGATTATATAACAAAGACTGAAATTACTATTTCATTTAATATTTACATATATTTCCATAATTAAATTATGTTTTTAGCTAGGTAATTATCCTAAAACGTGGAAATTTGTACACGTATTAAATACATAATATTTTACAATTTTTAAATTGTCATAACAGAAAATAAGTAAAATTTGAATTCCGATTACATATCCACACCATCTGAATGCTTGACGGTCCTCCACTGTACATTTTATTAGGAGTTTTCTTCCTAGTGCAACCTGTATGTGGAATAGTTTACCACCGGCGATTTTTCTAGGCCGATACGGCTTAGGGACTTTCAAGAAAAGAGCTTACTACTTTCTAAAAGGCCGGCAACGCACCTGCAATTCCTCTAGTGTTGTTGCAGTTGTTCGTGAGTCACTTACCATCAGGTGAGTCGTATGCTCGTTTGCCCCTCTCATATAAAAACCCTATTATAGTATAGTGTAATAATGTTAGACTAATACCATTATTAATTTGAAACAATTTGCTATGACGTAATCCTCCCACATTCTAGGTTTTAGGAGTTACAGTAATCACCTCGCTTCATTGTGATTTTATCGTTTTTTTGCAAGAGATCGCTGTTGCACCAGTACCAGATTTAATATCTGATTTTACTGGCTTGAAGATTAAAACCTCTCAAACCCCACGCGGTCGGATATGACCGCGGCGATATGGGGTATAGTCATTATTTATCGATGGACAATATACAAAGACGTTCGGAGATATTTTTAAGCCTTTTCCATGACGAGTGATGGATTCTATTACGCCAAATAGCACTTCAATATCATTATATATTTTTTTTTAAATATATTATTACCAAATGCTTTATTTGCCTTTTATTTTTATAATAGCTGTACTTTTTAATGTGTAACGCCATCTATTATTTAAATTATAAATTAGACGTAAAATAAACTATAAATATCTCATAAAGAAATTATACCAAACCAAAAGGAAAATTTGTAAAACAAAATGACATTTTAAGTTTTAAATTATATTATGAACCTAGTCTAACTTACTCTTGTTTTTGGTTACATCGTTCTTGAGCTGCTATCACAGAAGATTTACGTCTCCCTAATCTATCTTTCGATTCTTTTTCATTGATGAAACCTAAAACATTTTTTTTTACATTTTACTATGCGTTAACCTTTTATTCTTTAATATGAGCGTTAAACAATAATATAATACTCACCTCCGAAACTTGCCGGTTTCTTCACTTCGTTTACATTGGTAGAAGAGTTCTTTTTAATAATAGGCGTGTAAGCACTTGTTGTCTTTGACGGTTTTTTATATTCAACAAGATATGGCAAAATGGAATCCAAAATTCCTTCATTAATTACCTGTAAATAATTATTAAATAATTTATACTAGATCTATGAAATAAATGAAGTGCCGCCATCTAGCGCAGTATATAGTAAATATGTTATCATAAGGGTTGGTTTAGATGATTGCGCGAACAATTATTGTATAACAAATTGGTGAATTTTAATTTAAGCGCTACCACGATTTAAAAACACGTGTTTAAAATTATTAACCAGAAGAGGAAGATTAATTTATCAACCTACATCATTTAATTTACAGTTAAGATTAGCTTCAGTCCAAGCTCCAAGCATCTCCACTTTAAATTCTGCGGGCAATGAACGTCTAAGGCCTTTACCTGGAAAAATAAAATATCCTCCGTCACTGTCAATATTAACGTCTATTAAACATAGCTTATTTTTCAATTAAAGCATACATTCAATTTCACTATAACTGAGACGCTTTTCTACTGGAACTAATTCATTATTTTTCATTGCAAGTGCTGTGTCGCTTTTGCTAATTATTGGTTTTTGTTCTGTAAAAGCTGTTTGATAAAGAAGATCTCTCTCTTGTTTCTCAATGACATGATTTATAACAGTCAATTTAGTCAACTCTTCCCAGTTTATTTTAGATCCTTCCTCTTCGTTGCCTTCTAAATGCTCATAGACTTGATAAGCTGTTTTCATGAAGTCGAAAAAGTCCTTAACTGTAATAATTTCCACCGGTATGTTTGTTTTGGCAGTAGAATTTTTTCTTACTAATTCTGAACCTGTGGGACTTTTTGGACTTTTACTTTCACCTTTCTGCATAAACATTGAAGCTGAGACATTTTCTGAAGTAGCCATAACGATGACTGAGTAATAACACAGTACAGGAAAACCTTATCGATTTAATTTATTCCTTAGAAACATAGTATCCATCATTGTATTCATTATAGTATGGTGACCAACGAAAAGGTCACAATGCTTTGGAACTACACTTAAATAATTTTTAGTCTGATAGTAATAAAATAAAAATACTTTTTTGAACCTTATAAAATTAATATTTACAAAAACAAATAGCCAAGGTGTTATGGGTTGTCAACTTTATGACATTTGATTTTAAGTCGTTGTGATTTTTGCAATATTTGCCAACATTATTTGAAGTGTAAAGTTAGTATTTTGGTATTATGCATATTATTTGTTTCAAATTAAAAATAGTTTGTTAGTTTTGTCTTTTATAACTTTTCCTTTTTTGACTTAGTTAAATCAAAACTACAGAATTAAAATTAAAATATAAAATTGTCTTTGGTATATGTCATTAATGTCAATTTGCAATGTCACATCAAACAGTCTCCGAATATTTTGTTGTCCAGTAAAGATTTTTATAATGTTTCTGATCATATTTTATTATGGAAAGTTACCAAGCCGAATATGACAAGAACTGTATTTTATCTGATACGTTTTGGAGGACACCACAACGCGCAATCCCAGGAAGACCGCTACAAAGGGTTGAAAAGAACGAGGTTATGTCTGGGTCATCGTATCAGCAATTCCAGGCATCGGTGAACGATGCTTGGGATCTTGGCGACGACGACATTATATCCGGCATCGCGGAGACAAAGATATCGAGGGCCATATCAGAAACTGCAGCTTTAAACGTTATAAATTCTCACAGAAACAGCACTAAGAACGTAAACAAAAGTGACGTCAAAGTTGAAAGTGAAAATTTGAAGCCTAAAGAAGAGGCGTTGGCTGTGCGTAAAAATGAAATAAAAAGGACTGGAGGAGGCGTTGGCAGTAGTTCTGGGCTTATAAGGCATTATCCAGGTCGTCCACGTCCTGTCAGACTATCTGCATTAGCTTCGCGAGAAGAGAGTAGTGAGTCCAAATTAGAAAGGTTCCAGCAATTACTTGAGAATCCTGTGTTAGACTTGGATGAACTGAAGCAGCTGAGCTGGTCAGGCATTCCCACCAAAGTAAGTTAATGTTTCTTTTTTGTTTGTAATTGCGAAAGTATATGGTTATGGTAAATAGTGTTTATATGGAATTAATGATAATTTTAGAGCTATTAATTTACACATGTTTGCACTTGTGAAACAGTCTCAGAAAAGCCTAATAGCTTTAGGTAAAGGACATGGAAAAAACACATAATAAGCTTTATTAGGGGGATTAAAATATAGATTTTTTATGATAGAGATTTATAAAAAAAAAACGGGTCAAAAGCAGCTACTTTGATTTAATTTTAGTATAAGAAATCAATCCTTATGAAGTTGGCCTAAAGTTATGACTGAGTAAAGTCTTAATCTAATTATATCTATGAATATATAGTGTCAGGATTATTATAACAGTAAGTTACACTGTCTTTTCCAGTGCAATGAAATAGAAAACATTTGTTTTGATTTGTATTATATAAATGTAATAAATTGATAATATTGATTTTGATTGTATAAACCCAGACCAACAAAGGAAAAAAAGATAGATTATTATTTATAGATTTTTATTTTATAATTGTTTTCCATAAAATGATATGCGGGTCAAATATTTCTTTTTATCTTTTTAAAAGGGTTTGGGTGAATTTGGCACGGCCGGTGTATAAGGCATCACCAGTGCTGTCATCTACATAGCAATGAATGTTATCAGTTTGCAACATATCATTGATATGCAGAAGAAACAGCATTGGTGATAGCACGCAGCCTTGTGCACATTAAAACCGGTGCCAACTCCGGAGCACACATCTTCAGCGCACTGTATAATTTAACGTCTAATGAATGGCTACATTATAAACAATTCTCTTTGTTTTTATATCAATGAGTACATATTATTGTGCAATGTAGAATATATTGATTGGAAACCGTATCAAAATAGTTTTTAATTTTATAATAGCTTTCATCCTCTACTTTGAAGTGTACAAAAATTCTTAAATAAGTTTTACCTAGTTTCTAATTGAAAACTCATGATAGTATTGTCAAAAATATAATTATAACATGTCAGAATTTCAAACAATTTGAACATACTTCAGCCTCTATCTTGTCTGTCTATTTGTGCTAATCTTCAGAATGGCTAAAACAATTATGATTAAGCCTTACAAACAGGTAGAGTGCAATGTCCGGAGGGATCTACGCTATATTACATCCAAAAAACTTGAAGATTTAACATATCAATTAAAGTTCACTTACTAATAACCAAGGTTCGGCTGAACATTCATTTGGGATTGCAGAACTCAACATGTGATAGAAACCTAAACACTAACACCATTTTAACTAATAAATCATCTTTAAAGTGATTTATTTAATCTATCATGTTTATTCTAAGTGCTGATTCGCTATATACACGGCGATAAAGTAAAACATCATGAGCACACCTGTATATCTGAGGAACAAAACATCCTGATACACAGATACAACAGTATGTGTGGTAAAGCCACGCTGCAACTATATTATGGTTGTCTCACAAATGAGTCGACTCGAACTAGGTAGGATCACACAATACCAGCATAAAATAGCAGCTTAATACTGATGTGTTTCATATAGTGAGAGTAGAGAACTGAAGACCCTTATTACTGGAAATGAGGTATTCTATTTAGTCCTCAAGGGTGACAACCCATCTGCATTTTGATATAGATCTACTGGTCACAGCATCCACTTACCATCGGGTTGACTGTGTGGTTGTTTGTCACCCATATTCTATATAAAAATCCGCAGCGCTTTAATTGCTGTATATAGCAATTAGAGCGCTGCGGATTTTTATATACCATTTTATATACCAAGAAATAGTAGGTAGCCTGTGCCAACCTGTGGGGTGTATATTAGCTGTAACTTTTATAACCTAGTATCAAGTAAGCGGATCAGAAGTGACTTGAGACCATTTTCAGGCTAGAGCTGTGACATGGAGACTTCTTGCCGGCTATTTACCGGCGAATACCGAACGACGTGCGGAGACCCTCGAGCGCAAACGAGCTGATTACAAGCACCTCGTGAAGCAATACTACGACTCTGAGCGAGAGGAGGATACATACAGGCAGATACATATCGATATACCGCGGATGAGCCCACTTGTGGCCTTGTTTCAACAGAACACTGTACAGGTACATCCATCATCATTTATGACGGCTAATAATCTTACACTTACTTTTACTTTTTTTTATAGTAGAGGGGGCAAACGAGCATACGGCTCACCTGATGGTAAGTGATTACCGCCGCCCATAAACAACTGCAACACCAGGGGAATCGCAGATGCATTGCCGGCCTTTTAAAATAGAGTAGGCTCTTTTGTGAAGGTCCCTAAGTCGTATTGGTCCGGAAAAATCTCTGGTGGTTGTCAATTCCACAAGGAAAATGTGCGAGGAAGAAAACTTCTTTTAAATCTCACAGTGGGTGACCGCCAGTCATGCAGATGGTATGGATGGTATCGCGAATTTTGTCACCTTGTACGATGGTGAAATTGTGCGGCTGGAATTAGTCCGACCAATTCCTCAGAGCCCCTCCCCTTGGTAGATGCGATAAAAGATAGAGTCAAGCCGATCGGAAAGAGCTCGGTCGCTGCCGATTCGAACGCTTCTGCGCTGGACGCGATAAAATGGAATGAACTGTCACTAGGGAGCCCCAGCCCAGAGATGCGAACAGTATTCCACGTGGGGCCGAACCCACGCCTTGTAAAGTTGCAGACGGTGTTATCAAGACGATCACACAGTGTAGCATCATTGAAAAGCTTCATAAGAGTTTTTCGGTTTTTAGTGTATGTATCTTGTGTATACCTACAAAACGGCGTCACTGCTGTATTCTTTAATGTTTTACACATTTTTAACTTTTTTAAATTCTTATACTTTTATGAATATGCATAGTTTATCCATTTCTAATCTAATTAATATAAAATACTGCTAATATTTCAGAAAGAAACATTAATTTATACTCTTTACTAACAATTTACATTCCCCTGCTATAAAATCTGTTAAGTATTTCACCTAATTCCTAAGTGGTGCCCTGGTGACAGAAAAAGTAGTTGAGTTTACATTATTATTAATACCATTTGAATTAAAATAACTCAAGGAATTTAATTCTTCGAAGTTTTGACATGACAACTTCTAATAAATTGATGAACGCCGGCTGCATACACAAAAAGGATGACTGATTGTAACATTACGCTCATTCTAACGTTACGATCGGAGCGAGAGCGCTGCACGAGCGAGTGAAAGGCACGATCGGCTTGAGCGTAAAAGTAAATTTTATTTTCTTAATAGTATTTTATATTACTTAATAGTACTTTTTTCCGCGGAAAAACATCTCATTCCCGTGGGAAAATAGAATATGTTGCAAAATTAAATTCAACTAGGTGGCGTTACCGTGATTCTACAATACGGACGACGGTACAATGGACGAACACAGAAGGTCAGAATATCTGGATTATTATGTCTTTTTACCAAAATTAAGATAAAAAATATATGGATCTGTATTTTTCCACGCAGGACTGGGAAGAGAGCAATAAAAAACATAAAATTCACCAGCTGATTTCCTTCAAACATTTTGGTGCATTGTAATTCACAGAATAGACGATAACTTCGCAGGCGATATTAAGTAATCCGTGGATGCTCTGCCTACCCCGCAAGGGTTACAGGCGTGATTATAAGTATGGATCAGAAATACTATCACCACCTGTCACGCTTTCACCCTTAACTATTACTTAACTGTGGTAGAAACAGTTCTTAGTAAGCCTTATTAATAAACCTTAGTAATATTTATTGAACGGAAATGAATACAGTTCTTATATGTGGTTATGAATGAATCGGTATTACAATAAGAAAAATTGTGCAAAATTATAAGAAAAATATTTTTTGAGAGTTCTTATTAACTAACATATACATATGATTAAAACTACTTTTACGGATTTTATCGCGTTTATTTTTACTTTTTATTTTTAATTCCCGACGTTTCGGGCGCTTTCCAGCACCCATGGTCACAGGGGACTGAGATGACTGACGTCCCGATGTCATTGTTAAACCCGGAGTACCTTCAGCTTTTTTAATTATTGTTTATGGTCCGATCTATGCAAAATGAACTGACTATGTCCTGAGGTCTTGCAGTGGTATGCTTGGGTTTAGTTTTAATTTTATTGATTATAGGATCCCAAGCAGGTGGTAGTACCCAGCCTCCTTCTCTATTGAAATTAGGATGTTTTTTAATTTCAATAGCCTCACGTATCATCCTTGGTAGGAATCGGTGTTCTTTCGCGAGAATTTGTGGTCTATCAAATCTGATGTAATGGTTGGGGCCGTCTAGGATATGATCACAAACTGCAGACTTCCCGGAACGTTGATGCTTCACATCAGCTATATGTTCTTTTACGCGGGTCCTAATTGATCTTTTGGTTTGTCCTATATAAGAGAGACCACATTCACAATCAAGCTTGTACACTCCTGCATCTTGTAGAGGAATATGACACTTGACGGATGGTAGGAACTGACTAATCTTCTTCGGCGGCTTGTAGAATGTTCTAATAGAAGCTCGCTTCAAGATATAGCCAATCTTGTCTGTGACACCTCTGACATATGGTAGTACAGCAGGCACACGCTCGACTGTGGCCGGCTTCACTCGGTCACTGTGACGTAGGCGCGGGACCCGAAGCTTGTTGTCGTGCAGAACTTGCTTGACGTGCTGAAGCTCGGCGGCCAGGTGTTTGCTGTCACAGATCCCTCGTGCTCTCTGTAACAAAGATTTGCCCACGGTAGCTAACTGTGAAGGATGGTGGTGCGATTCACCGTTTAAATATCGGTTTGTATGGGTCTTTTTCCTATACACAGTGTGACCAATGGTGTTATTAGGATTTCGGATGACTAACACATCTAGGAAAGGTAAGGAATTATTTGCCTCTAACTCCATAGTAAATTGAATTTTAATGTTTATGGAATTTAGATGTTCTAAAAATGCAGTTACTTTGTCTGATGGTAAAATTGTGAAAGTATCGTCTACGTACCGCTTGTAGATCCTTGGTGTAACAGGTGCAGTAAGGAGGGCTTTCTCCTCAAAGTCTTCCATGAATATATCGGCGACAATGGGAGATACAGGTGAGCCCATCGCCACACCATCTACTTGCTTGTAAAACTCTTCCTTCCACAATAGATAGCCAGATGTAAGGCAACGTCTTAGTAATACTGCATATTCTGCTGGCATGTTATTTTCCTCTAGTTTCCTAGTTATAATTGAGATGCAGTCTTCAACAGGTAGGCATGTAAATAGAGACTGAACATCAAAACTGACCATGGTTTCATTGTCGGTAAGATGTAGGTCTTTTATCTCACTGACAAAATGGTATGAATCCTTAGTGTGTGCTCTTGTGTGTCCTCTGAGTGGTGATAATATTTTAGCTAAGTATTGAGCCAATCTGTAAGTTGGCGAATCAATCTGACTCACTATTGGACGTAATGGAGCATTCGGTTTGTGTATCTTTGGTAACCCATACAACTTCGGTGGTTTGGCACAGGAAGGTATTATCGAATTAACGTCCAGATTCAATTTTTCGGAGTATTTCTTAATTAGATCGCTAGTTGTTTTAAGCGTATTAGTTGTAGGGTCTGTTTTGACCTTTCGATAAGTAGTTTCATCCGACAAAAGTTGTTGTATTTTAAAATTGTAATCTGACGTATCCATTATAACCGTAGAATTACCTTTATCTGCGCGGAGAATCGTAAGCTCTGGTCTGTTGCGTAAGTTTTTCAACGCGTTAAATTAATTTTTGGGAAGATTTAATTTCGGCGCTGAACTTCGACGTAACATAGACGAGATGTCTTGACGTATGGCCTCTAAATCTTCATTACCAATATTATTTTTATACAGACAGTCCTCAACACTACAGATAATGTCCTCATACGGTATTTTTCGCGGTGTTATTGCGAAATTAATACCTTTTTCTAAAACTTTTATTGTGGCGTCGTCCAGTGTTTGTTTTGATAAGTTGTAGACAGCGCGTTGTTTATGATTCGTGTCTGTGGTCAACGATTTCGTATGTTGGACATTTGATTTAGTTGTTAATTTATGGTATTTATCAATGTGTTTATTTTTGCATTCATTGTATTTAGTTGTTTCGCGTTTATCTAAAGTTTCCATGCAATTTTTATAATCAAATGTCGATAAAACTGTCTTTAATTCACTGGAAGAATTGTCTATGGTTTTGTTTATGAAATATAGATCGGTACGTTTTTGCTGAATCACCGTTATTAACAACTTTTTACTAGCCTGATTTAAGATCTTGGCGCTTCCTCGAATGTCTTTTTTAGTTGATATCTTTACACACGTAGGAATGAGATTATGATCTCTGCATCTCTTCAAGAAATTTAAAGCTGTTATGTATCTTGCGCGCTTGGTCTTCAGATCTTCTAATCGGCGTATTTTATTTGCTATTTCCAGTCCGTACTGGTTAACATAATGATTTCTTATATTTACGCGAACATTGCACATGATTAAAACTACTTTTACGGATTTTATCGCGTTTATTTTTACTTTTTATTTTTAATTCCCGACGTTTCGGGCGCTTTCCAGCACCCATGGTCACGGGGGACTGAGATGACTGACGTCCCGATGTCATTGTTAAACCCGGAGTACCTTCAGCTTTTTTAATTATTGTTTATGGTCCGATCTATGCAAAATGAACTGACTATGTCCTGAGGTCTTGCAGTGGTATGCTTGGGTTTAGTTTTAATTTTATTGATTATAGGATCCCAAGCAGGTGGTAGTACCCAGCCTCCTTCTCTATTGAAATTAGGATGTTTTTTAATTTCAATAGCCTCACGTATCATCCTTGGTAGGAATCGGTGTTCTTTCGCGAGGATTTGTGGTCTATCAAATCTGATGTAATGGTTGGGGCCGTCTAGGATATGATCACAAACTGCAGACTTCCCGGAACGTTGATGCTTCACATCAGCTATATGTTCTTTTACGCGGGTCCTAATTGATCTTTTGGTTTGTCCTATATAAAAGAGACCACATTCACAATCAAGCTTGTACACTCCTGCATCTTGTAGAGGAATATGACACTTGACGGATGGTAGGAACTGACTAATCTTCTTCGGCGGCTTGTAGAATGTTCTAATAGAAG